TATTCCATGGCCACGATGAAAACTATACTTCTCCTCTTCGTAAGCCAGGATCCCAACCTTCGAAGTCCTCATGGATTAGGGAAATCCATGCTTACCATGCCCTGCTCCTCCGTCAAGTTTGATCTCAAGGGCAGAAGGTAAGTGGGTTAATTGTCATTGCCGATGCCACCCTCCAACTCAGGGACTGCGGAAAAGTCCAGAGAACTGATTCGGAGCTGGAAGAATACAAGGTTCAGCAGGCTTCCGCATTCAGCGTTAGTCACTTGAGGAAAGCCATGAGTCCACGATGGATAAGGAATCAATGCCACGAGAAACCTTAGATCACGCAGCAGAAAGTTTGTCCAGGCCTCTTGCGATGAAGAGTGGCCATTGGCATAAAAGCTGCCAAGGAGCTGAATTTGACGATGCAACGCAGCCATAATGCTAAGCTTGTCGTTAGACGTTGGCGTTTTTCGTGAAGCTTCAGCATTAACAAGGGTTGCGGGCGCGAGGGAGCCGATATGCGCTCTGACAATGGCTTTGCAGGGAGGTTGACTCAGACATTGCTGCGGGCAGTCTTTCTACGGACCGCTTCCTAGCCCCCGGCTGGGCTAAAACTGCAAGGCAGACGATCGCAATGACAGATACAACGGGGGGCCCAGACCCCCATTAAGTCCCAAGATGGAAATGGTATAGCCCCCACCGCATGCCACTGAAACCTTCGAGAAAGATTGATTTCGCAGGGGATGAAGATGAGAATGGCACTCTGCCGGAGGGGTTTGCTCTGCAGAGAAAGTTTTGACGAGATAGGAATGAGAGACGTGAAGCTCCTTCAAGGACAAAAGGAGGCAGAGATCGGCATTGCGTTGAGGAGACCCTTGGCAACGACCCTTGTTCCAACAACTTTGCTCCACTGTTCGAGCTTTCGTGTTTTCTACTCAATGCTCATACTGGCTAGCGCAATAGTCAACGGCCGTTAAGAGGCCGTCAAGTGGCGTTCGGATTTTTAGCGTATCCGTAAGCTAGGTCTGGGGTAGGGCTAACCAAGAGAAACATTTCCAAGGAAACATGACTTGATTTGGATGGCGTGGAACATGGGTCTCGGACTTTGACCTGGCGGGTAATGCGGACTGCAGCAAAGTCTCAAGGCAAGGGTCAACTTCCATAATGACCGTATGAATTATGTTTATGTTCTATGTTCGTATGTGGTATCTCAGTGCAGCTTTATGCTGTCAAAATTAAAAAGGGTGGTAGCAGGATCGATCCTCTTCTGTGTGTCTAAATATTGCCAAAAAAAAAAAAGGAAGCGGGTGAATGAGTGAGAGTAATAAACAGCAGATAAACGCCGGCCAGTAAAATTCCTCATGATGCCTTGCTCACACAGATTCATGTGGAGTAATGGGCTTCTTTTCTGATGACGGGCGCGAACTGGGGTCTGTGAACGGCCCTGCCGTGAGTTCATGCTCAACGTAGGAGACATCATCCCGATGTCTTGACCGGACTGTGAACTCCTTGAGCACTCGAATAGCCGGTTTTGACGAGCCCTTGGATGAAACCTTCTGGGAGTTGGAAAGGTCCTTCTGTTGGCTAGAGAGATTTGCGTAGTTTGATTTGCCCCTTTGAGTGGTGCCGAACACCTTGGGAAAGACCAGACTGAATAGAGAGCGAATGGCAGGCATGCTGGCGCAGATGACGCCTACCGGAACCTCAATAGTGCTCCAGTATCCGACCTCGACGTAGTCCTCTAGTATCACATTAGCTTAATGCTTTCCCACTGGTATGTTGGGTAGAAACTTACGCGTCGCATTGCTCGTAGTTGCATAGCTGGCCAGCGAATGCAACCGTACCACACTCACAATAGTGACACTAAGTAGAATTTGTCAGCAAACAGTTCTGCGGGATGGATAATTTGCCAAGCATACAAGAACCCAACGCTGAACATCAGAATGACCATGAGCTTCTTCTTTGTAGAAAGCGAAAGATTGTACAGTTCCTTCAACGGAAGAATCAACGTGGCCAAGTCCAGAAGAATATTGATGATTGCCGCAGCCCAACCCTGGATGTTGATATTGTTGCATTTTGCCGGGTATTCCTTGTCCCATGCTCTCCAGGCCCCATCGATCGGACGGCACTGGAAGATCGAGATGAGTTCGAAGGTGATGAAGTATGCAACGTTGAGCCCGATAAGAACCCAGCAGCCAATTCTTATTTCTCTTTTGGGAAAGATTTTGAGGTAAAAGAGAAGAATTGAGATTTTGGTGACTGGCAAAGCGCCGAGGTATAGAAGCTCGTCCCAGTAAAAGAGCTAATACTAAAATCAGTTAAGGCACTGAACATCTGCAGAAAAAGACTTACATAGAGAAACTGTGTCACGTCGTCAGGGTGCACGTTCCAAATGTCCTTGCCCAGAGCAACTTGAGAGACTTGGCGACGAGTCAGCAACATAAAATATTGGCTAGACATGGAAAGACTTACTTGGGACCGATAGAGCGTTGAGTGGTATCATCATGCCCTACCATTCTGTTAGTAACTCGATAATTTGCGTAGGGCAGAAGAGAGTTGACTCACCACCGCAATACACATAACCCAGTCGTCTGGCCCCCAAGACTGGCCACCCAGGCAAAGTCGAGCCATGACTCTCAACACGAACGCCAAAAGGCCAAGAACCAGAAAAACTACTCCGGTGACCCATACTAATGCAGTTCTGTCTCGTGAAGGTGCACCACAAGTGTGCTTAGAGTAACTTTGAACCACTGGAAAGATCGTAAGTTCATCAACTTTCGGTCATCACTGGCAAGTAGTAACATACGTAGTGCCTCCCGGACAGTGCAATTGGAGTGCACGCAGAGTGAAATCTTCTCATTCAGCTCAACATTGGTGCATATGCAAGTTGCGTTAGTGAGCGAGCATAGCTGCGTTGCCAAAGTGACTGATTGAATGCATTGCAACTATTCCAATGTCAGTTCCTGGAGTCGTCCAGCAGTCAGCCGGATGCATGACTTACGCCGCACAACGGAGGAGTCTCCGTGGACGCGGGGGTATCAACTGTTTTGGACAAACCCCACACGCCTTGACACCACGCCAAAAGTAACAAAATAAAGGCAAAGAATTTCATGGTTTCTAGTCCCAGCTTTGAAGGGCTGGAAACGGAATTCGAAGAAGACGAAGGAAGGAAGAAGGAGAAGAGACGGAGAAGGAGGAACGAATGAATGACTGAATCCCGTCGGTATGAAGACTTATTCAATGCTCTTTCATCTTTTGATCCAAGAGGCCCCAAATCTGTGCCACATCTGCCGGCATCCCGGCGTACGTTATTGTTTCCATTTCATCGAAGACAAAACCAGGTTCTAGGAAGTTAGCTGGCAGCAGGGTTTCTTTCGATTTGTGGGCGGGTGCCCATCGACAGACACGGGACGCGTTGAATCATTGATTCAACTGCGTCAGACGGGCCCTGATCTTTCTGACTTCCCATGGCGAGAGAGTCCCTGTTGGTCTTTGCCACTTCTTGGCGAAAATCACCAAGCCCTACTAGCTCGATTGGTATATCTACCCTTGTGCATAATCAACGCCCCCTAATCATCTATGTAACCCTCTCTGAAAGTCATTTTAGACATCAAACTTCGAAAGCGGCAAGGCGAGCATGTTGCATTCCTTCTTCTCCTGAAAGACCGTTGCCAAACACGTCAAATATGGAGCGGCCAGCCTTCCGGGATCCCATGTCTAGCGGGGTGCATCGTGAATTATGACAGACAGGGATCTGTTTCAGACCCTGCGACTGAACCACGTGCTGGTCATCCTAGACTCTGCCATTACGACTTCAAGCCCACAGACTGTGGATTGAGCTGGTGAGGCAGCACGGGAGCAGACGGCGAGGGCGGTGGGATGCAGTAATCGCGAAGGAATCGCGAAGACCCTGCGTAGTGGATGTTTCTATCACAAATTCTTCTTGTATTCCATGCCCGGTTTTTGTTGAAGATCTTCGTTGTAAAGTGCTCGAATAGGGTTCAGGAATACAAGGGGGACGAGAATTTGCCCAATTGCGTCTGACACTGCCACAAGTGCTGGGGCTCGTAGGAATCTGCCCCTGATGTCTTGCGGATGGGCAGCACATCGCGTCTGTTGAGCCATGGAACCGGAACCACTGCACCGTGCAGGGGCACCGACCAGCGGTGTGCGGTTTAGTCGGGAAGCGTGAGGCCCGAATCGGCACTCTTGTGGACGTCGGCACCTCAATGCAACTCTGTAAGCCTGGGCTCTTCTCCAGTCTAAATTCCTACCAGTCGATCAGTGGGCAGTCAAATTGTGCAACTTCACAAGTGCTGATGCTCACGCTAGAAGACGTTGACGGAAGTTTGCTGCGTTCCCGGAGAGTCCGTCAAACTTTTGGAGACCTCAAAGTTCAGAAATGGGGCTATCGGGGAATTCAAATGCAGATCCTTCGAGTTATCAATTCTGGGCTGCCTCGATATGACAATTGCTCAATTTCAAAGGGTTACATGCTGGCCAGGGGTTATTCGAGCTAAACTGGTAAAGTTTACTTGACAACAACCAACCAGGCAACCCCAACTTACATCCTGGGAAATGGGAGTCGCCCTTTCCAACAGATTGATACCAGATCCCCAATGAGTAGAATTGAGATTGAGCAGCTACGAAGCCTGAGTAGATCTTTTTCCTATCATGATGAGGAAGGCGAAGTGCCGGTGGGATTTGAGGGCCACTGCCATGAAGCCTACGATACCTGACCACCCATGTGTTTCTCCTGGCCGGCTGTCTTCCGATGCCCACGATTAGGCCAACCCGAGTTGATCCCAATGTTTGGTTTCCGCACGTCGCGGAACCAGCGGCCCGTCAAACTTCCATAGTAAAAGGGACTGGCCAAGAATAATGTTCCGATTTCCAATCCTCCACCTCTAGATCATTGACACAAGCCCACCGGCAACCGTCAGTCATCCATCGTCACTCTTTCAACCCCACGTCATATCATTCGATTCTCACACTCTTTTTGACTTGGCCGCTTCAAAATGAAGCTGCATTACGCTCTCTCTATTCTGCCCTGTTTCGGCAGCGGCATCCTTGGGTTCCCCGCATACGCAGCTGATGCTCTCAGAGAGGAGCTCTCATCCAAGCTCTCCGGACACATCGCCAGCGCCTTTCACGAGGTACATGAGAAGAGGCTTCTATTCGACCCATTGACAACACCTATCGATGTAACCGGCGACCACAAGTTCATCGCACCCGACTTCAAGAACGGCGCCCAGCGTGGTCCCTGCCCGGGGCTCAACGCTCTGGCGAACCATGGCTACATCAGCCGCAAGGGTGTGACGAGCTTAGTCGAGGTCACGGCCGCTATCAACACTGTGTTTGGCATGGGATTGGAACTTTCAACGATTTTAGGAGTGATGGGAACTGTTTTTGTCGGAAACCCTCTGTCTCTTAACCCAGGTTTCTCCATTGGAGATGCTGCCAGCGGATCCAACAACATCTTGGGCAATCTGATCGGTCTCCTTGGTACGCCTCGCGGACTGAATGGCTCCCATAACATCATCGAGGGTGATTCGTCCAACACCAGAGCCGACTTGTACATGACGGGAGACGCTTCCACCATGGTCATGGAGCAGTTCCAGTCCTTCTACGACATGTCGTCAGGCGAGGGCGATTACAACTTTGAGTTATTCGCTGACAGGGCCTCTATTCGCTTCAACGAGACTATTGCAACCAACCCGAACTTTTACTATGGTCCTTTTACCGGCATGATTGCTCGAAACGCGGGCTTTTTGTTTGCTTGCCGCTTGTTTGCGAACCACTCCGCGGAGAATCCAACTGGCCTCTTAAGTAAGTTGTCAGCCTTTGTTAGAGAATGGACTGATGTACTGATTCCCTTTAGACAAGGCAACTCTGAAGAGCTTCTTCGCCGTAGAGGGCGAAGAGGGCAATCTCACGTACAACAGAGGCTGGGAACGTATTCCAGAGAACTGGTACCGTACGCCAGTGGACTACGGCTTGGTCCAGCTGAATTTGGATCTTCTTGCCTGGATTGCCAAGTACCCTGAGTTGGGAAGGTACGTGTACTCTAAGTACCCAAGTCAAAAGATTATCAAGCAACATGCTAACGAGTCTCCCACTACAGTATCGGCGGAAACATGGGAAAGGTCAACAGCTTTGCGGGAGTCAATCTCGCCGACCTTACCGGTGGTGTCCTGAACCTCACCAAGCTGTTGGAAGGCAACAATCTGCTGTGCTTTGTCTTTGAGATTCTCAAGACCGCCTCACCAAACTCGCTGTCTACAATCTTTACCATCATTGAGGCGCCTCTCAAGCTTGTCACCGACACTGTTGGCGCTGCCATCCTCAACTTGGCCTGCCCGGCCTTCAAGGATATGACTGTAGGCGGAAAGAGTCTTGATGAAGGCCTCAAGGAACAATACCCCGGCGCGAAGATGGCTGACAACATCCTTTGAGAAAGTCATCCTTGTCTCTGAGTACCATGATACACAGTAATGTAGAACCAACCCTGTATAAGCGACAAGACTTTTATCAGCCGATATATATCCTATTTAATTCATAATCATGCTGCTGAAGCAGTACCTTTGCTCCCTGTTTGCTCTCCGCATTTTAGGAAAGACTTAACCCTTGGAAGTGCTTGACTAAAGAGTGACTCAACGGACACCAATAACACAACATCATAGCTGTACTTTATCATCGAAGCGAGAGTAGTGTATTATCGTAGGAACCTCGCCATCATAGTTTTAGTGATCATTGATTACGTTGTGAAGTACATGTCAAGTAAGCATGCTTACGGTAATCATCCTAATTGTTGATATAGCCATGGCCCCAACCGCTCACGAGCTTGAGAAACTGCGATTAGCCAAGTGGAAGCAAACGCGGTGTATAGTTCGTGCGAGCACATGTTTGCAATCAGATTCATAGACGCGGCTTCAACTCATCATCATTTCGTCATTGATCTTCTAATCTACATAGTCCATTCCGAACCTTTTGATACTTTTACAACTTAGCGTGCTTCTCGTTAACCAGAACGTATCTGTAACGAGCATGGCCTTGCTCCATGTCGACAATGGCCTTGTTGGCGTCCTTAAGCGGGCGCTTCTGGACCCAAGGCTTGACCTTCTTCTCGACAGCGAGCTCAAGCATCTCCCTGATGTCGGAGGGAGAGCCAATACCGCTGCCACCAACCTTGATACCGCTGGCGAGCAGAGTGAAGGCGTTGATGGGAGGCAGGTTACCACCGTCGGGGGCACCGACCTGGATGAATGTGCCGTAGACCTTCAACAGTCTCAGGTACTGTTGCAGGGGCATCTTCTCGCTGGACACGGTAGAGATGATGAGATCGATGCTGCGGGCGTTGGTCTTGGACCAGTCCTTGTCGTCGTCGGTCGCAATGTACTCGTCAGCTCCTAGCTTCAGGACCTCGTCCTTCTTGGTGGCCTTTCTGGAGATACCGATGACCTTGTCAGCGCCGAGGGCCTTGGCAAAGAGCACAGCAAAGTGGCCAAGGCCACCAACACCAACGACACCAACAGTCTTTCCAGGTCCGCAGCCGTTCTCCTTCAACGGGGAGAAGACTGTGATGCCACCGCAAAGCATGGGCGCAGCATCCTCAGAAGGAATGCCATCCGGGATCTTGATGACGAAGTGTCCGTTGGTTCTGTTGTAGTCGGCATAGCCACCCATTGCCTTGCCCTCACCATCGGGGTAGACGGAGCCGTATGTGCTGATGTTGGCACGGCCGCAGTAGTTCTCGCGTCCAATGGAGCACTCGGGGCAGTCGGACTTCATGCAAGAGCGAGCCTGGGCACCGACACCTACGCGGTCACCAACGGAGACGTGCTTCACGTTCTTGCCGACGCGGACGGCCTTGCCGACGATCTCGTGTCCGACGCAGCAAGCTGAAAAAAGGAGCACAGGTTAGCAAAGAACAATTGACCAATTGCTGCTTGAAAACCCCGCGTTTTGAGTCGAGGCGGGGTAAAGAGGGAAAACTCACGATAAGGGGTCTCAGCCCAGCCCGAGCGGAGCATGTGAAGGTCAGAACCGCAGATACCGCAGTGGGAGATCTCGATGTCGACGTCGTCTTCAGTCCACTTCTTGGGCTCGAACGCGCCCCATTCCATCTTTCCGTTGACGCTGTCGGGGCTGTGGCCGAGCCATCCTTCAAACTTGATGTCGGACATGATTGTGTGTGTTGTGTTTGTGATAAGCTGACTCGCGTTGTTGATATGGTACTGTCGGAGTCGATTTTCGTCTTCAAAACTTGTAGAACACGAATTGATCAGGCAGTAACTATCAGCGACTTGGTGAGGGGGGCAGAGTTTATGTATGAACTTTTAGAATACAAAGCACCGAGGCCACGGTCCATGACGGCATCCACAGATGCCGCGAGCTAGGGCCCATTCCCCTTCGTTCATCATGTCATCAAGAACTCTCTTGACCGGAGCTAGCTGGAGTTAAGACGGCACTATACCGAGTTTAAACAGTTCAATGAGCTTGCCGGCATATCTACGGAGCCTTCCGACGCCCAGGGCCAGCCGTCAATGCCGCGGATGGGTTCGTTTTCTTTTTGGGTGGTTCTACTCAGCTTTTGGTCTGGCCTTTCTGGCGGTGTCGAGCTTCCATACTCGCAGGTGCTTGGGCCGGAAAGGACTAGCTTCGCCCGCCACTTCAGATGATGACGCAGAGAGGAGGGGTGGAAATCTTCAGTGGGTTTTGTTCTTGGCAACTGAGACATGTAATTGGATTAACTTGTTCTAACCCCAATGCCCCTCCACGGTCAAAAGTCCGGATTTCCTTTGGCCGCGGGGGCTGCGCGAGTCAGATAAGCTACGTGAATTAGCTGACGTTTCCAGCATGAAGCCCCACGGTGTCCGTGGATGAGGTTCAGTTGTTCGATTCCATGCTGTTGTGCGGCGTAGCACAGCCTGTCAGTGACCTGGGGCAATGCAGGCCAAGCGTAAAACCCGTATGTACTCCGTACTTCGTACGCTTCCTCCCGAGCCAGACACCAGCATGCATGGAGCTTTTCCATTCTTTTCTGCTGCAGCCTGCTGACGGAGGCGCTGACAGACGTTCTTCTTGGCTTGCTGGCTTTAGCTAGTTCCCTTGTCATCCCATGGAAACATGTGCGTTAGTATGCTTGGTATGCACTAAGGTGCTTATTGCCGATCGTCCGGGACGACGGCGTCGCGTATCATTCGATCGCATCGCAGATTTGCAGAATAGCCTTTGATTCCCCCTCAACTAGCCTGTGCCATTTGTGTTGCGCCGCTTCCGCGGCATCATTACAAATTCCTAGGTATATCCATCGGTGATAGGCGATGAGGAGGGTTACTATCGGCGTTTACCTTGCATGGATGATTGATTTAGCGGTGAAGCTTGTGCCAGTCTCTCGTTTCTAATGTGCCTACCCGTAGCTTCTACCAAGTTATTCTTATGCTCCCGGACTTAAGAGCACTAAACTCTACGACGACGAGCCGAGGTGCAGCATAATACCAGGAAACTCAATTAGTAACCATTTTAGTTTTTCTGTGCTTACGTCTGGTTCCCATACTGGAGCGATGTAGCGACAATCACACACTTGGTCTAGGAGCTTGGGAGCAAGATTTAGTGGGTTTTCCCCGTGGAAGAAAACACAGTTCTCTTTGATCATCAACCGTGACGTCGATGGTTACACAAAACATCAAGTATTGCCGAAAGAGCATACGTTAGCCAGGAGCAAACAGTTGAATTCATTCTTCATGAATCAAAGTACTCAGTAAGTATGAACATGAAGGTCAAGTATTTACATCTGGTTCAATCAAATGGGCATGGAACCCAGACTGAACCCACCCCCACCTCTACCCCGCCATTCCCGAAAGTGCCGTACCCTCTCCATCCCTTGCTTGTTGCTCACGATAGAGAGCGGGCGATTAAAGAAGAATCCCGTAATCTCTCAGAGACATTGAGAGTAGTAGTCATTCGACTTGGTACAGACGTAAGGAGACTGGCAAGTAGTAGGCCCGGTCCAGCCAATACCACCGCACTGGCCCCAGCGGACCTGTCCGGCGCCAGAGGCAGCACTACTCGTAGTCGCAGCAGCAGACGTAGTAGTCGTAATCAGAGTCGTCGCGCGCGAAGTCGTAGTCGGAACGGCACCAGTAGCAGCAGCAGCAAGTACAGAGGAAACAGACGTGTACGCAGGCTTCTTGTTGAAGCTGGCGTCCCACAGAAGGGCATCACCGGCACCGCTGAATGTCTCAGGGATCCAGCTGTACTTGTCGGTGAAGCCCCAGATGGTGACGCCGACGCACCCGGCAACGTCCAAGCAGGAACCGACGACGTTGGCATAGTCGTTGCCCTGTGTGACGAGGGCGGCGCTGGAGGCGGGCAGGCTGGAGTGACGGATGTCGAGCTCCGTGTAGGCGACTTCGAGACCGAGGGCGGTGAAGCGGCGGAGGGCGGTCGCGAGGGCGCTGCGGCCCGGGGTGGAGCCCACGATCAAGTGGCCCTGGAAGCCAACACCGTCGATAGGTGCGCCGGCGTTCTGGACGATGGTGACGGCTTCGTAGACGCGGTTGGTCTTTGCGCCGTTGTACTCGAGGTTGTAGTCGTTGTAGTAGCTGGGTTCTTCCATTAGTGATTGAGTCGTAAGAGGCAGGGGACTCTCTGGCTTACAGCTTGGCATTGGGATCAGCAGCCCTGGCAGCTCTAAAGGAGATGGGAAGGTAGTCGGTGCCGAGGACGGTGTAGAAGACGCTGGTGCGCCAGCTTCCGTCGTCTGCTGCTGCTTCATTGACGACATCCCAGGCGTAGCATTGGCCGAGATAGTGCTTTAGAACGTTGGAAATATGCGTGTTGATGACGGCAGTCAGGGTTGCTGCTGTCCATGATCCGCTCGAGACCCAGTTGGGGAGTTGAGAGTGCCTGGTTCCTGGTCAGAGTTGTGCACCACCAATGCTCATACTAAAGGGATGTTTACCATGTCAAGGTGTGGCATCTCAGGATCTGGCCGTTCGCCTTTGCAATATTCGGAATCTAGGCGAAATCATCGAGTCAGCCCGCGCTCAGTCTAATGGATCTAGCCAAGCCTCCATGCCCTGGCGCATCACGTACAATGTCTCCCGAGGTGTAAGAGAAGGTGTTCTGAGTAGGCTCGGTATACGCCCATTTTTGTCCGTTCTCAGGTACCAGGGAACCAAACTCGGCAGTGTTGTTCACAATTGCCATGTAGGCGGCATCCGTAGTTGTGCGGCGCTCATCGACGGCCGTGCCGAAGTACTTCAGACCGGCGCGGACGGCAAGGGTGTTGAGCTGAGCCGACACGAGGCCGGAGCCCAATAGAACCGCGAGAACAGCCTTGGCGTACATGATGTTCGACTCTCTGATTCTGATTGATGGTCGATGCGCACACGTCTGACAACTAGAGCATCATCTCTTATCGACATCTTCCCTGGGGTGGGCACCGTAGACTTATACATGATCCTGAACAAACTCCATCGCGAGGGAGGTCTGACCTGGGGTCACATTGCATGCTGCTTTCACCCTTTGTCTCTTGGCTCTCACTAGGCTGGCTGGCCATCGAACATGACTTTGGAATATTCCTGGATTCTCGACTTTCCCACGTGGGGTGTGGCATCGCCGGCCCGAAGGATGTGCTTCCCGCTGCTAACCACCCACGCAAATATTGGGGAAATTATCGTAGTGGTTCAGCGTCAAGCAGGAAGGACCCTCAGATCTCCTGCAGAGGCATTCATCCTTTTTACCCGGAGTGAACCTCTCCCAGCTCGATCGCGTCATGTGCAAACTCGCTGAGAACTATCATATGTCTCATTGCACCAGATAGGCATACTGGCCGCGCAAGTCAGACGGAGCAACAGCAGCAGTGCCGTGGCCATGTCTGGCAAACTGACTTGGCGCTCGGAGGGTGCTCCGAGAATTCCTGTGCCTGGGCTAGCGCGAGGGGGAGAAAGTGGGCATCCCGCCTGCGCCGTAGGCCCATTTCCAAGATTTCTTTTTTGGCGCGTGTGAGCGCGGGGTTGTTGTGCAGACGGCGGGAACCAGAAGAAAAGGTTGACAGAGAAGAGGAAAGTTGTCCGTAATGTGCAAGTGGTTGGCGTCGACAAGCTCATTTCAAGTTCCGGGTCCAGAAACCGGGATCTGAGAAAATTCCACCAGTAGCCACCCACGCTGCAATAATGAGGTCCAAGATCGAGGGTCCTTAATGAACGCGTCGATATTTAGAGAACCGTGGCTACGGGAGAGTCAAGGGTTGACCCAATGCCGGATTCCCATATTAGCCTGAATATCTTTTTCTTCGCCTTCCCGCTGGAGTTACATCGCAGCAGGCGTCTAGTGCTTGGCAGGACAGCCAATTTGAAAGGCGGATATGCGCGTGTGAAGTCGTGAATGGAGATTCACGGCCAACGCCGGCCACTACTGCCTGAATGTAGAGATCGGGGGATGCGATGAGGAGCGAACAACCTAAGTACGCAACGATAGGAAGCCCCGTCACGGCTATCTGAGCAAATTTGTGCGCATTATGTCCATCATGAACAGGCCTCATGGTAATTAGAAGACATATAGATTCTCGCGACGGAAGTCGAAGTAACCGCGATTTTTCTCCAACTCTTTCAGGTGGTCTGTCTCCAACATGTTCCCCACATCACACAAAACTTCAACACAAATTTGCGCACCACAATTGTCTATCGCCAAATGGCTCTCGTGGAACTCTCATGGACACTAGCTATTTCAGCAAAATAGTAAATAGCGCTCGTGGCAAAAGGTTCGTGATCAGTGGGAGGCTTGAACTCCCGGCCTTGGCATTACACAACATTTCAGGTGAAATATTAGTACCACGCTCTAACCAACTGAGCTAACCGACCTGTTTCCGAGCTGAGAGTCTAGGGCTGAATCGCAACTATGAATGGAGGGCCGCCCTTGGCTCCACAAGGACAACCAACCAGCTTGTTTATCCCAGAAAGACAACAAGGAGCCACAGTCGAGACAAAGCTGCAGCAATATGTCTCGCTGAAATGCGCTTCTTTGACGAGTTGTTCATGTCTTTTCCATTTTTCTTCATGAATATGTGGTTCGATAGTCAGCAAAGTTTCTACTCTACCAGGGTAGTCTAGAAGTTAAGGGTTGAATATACAGCAAAGAACCCGCTTCTGTTTGGGCTTATCTCGAATCCTCTCACAACTTCAAGTCAGAATCAACAACTCTTTGAAATTTCGCGGTAGAATAGCAAAGAAATATGTTTGATTCTTATATAGATTAACTCGAGAGACCTCGTATGTCTACAATAGACCTAGTCACCACAGCTTTAGTAAACTCCAGTTCACACTTGTCTTTCAATAACATTGAACAGCAACCTACGCTATAGCAAGCTCAGTCGTTGATTAGCCCACGATGCCGTTTGACTCTGAGCGCAGTCGATCAGAAGTACCATCCTCCTCAACTAACCGCACGCTTCCGGGTAGTCGGCGTTTACGTCGTCGGCCTGGTAACTTTTCCTTGAGAGTGTCCATCCAAGGCATTGCCCTCGATGCAGCGAGTTCTGTAGGAGACAGTGGCATCAACGACTCCGAGTCGATCGCAACTACCGGCACCGTCATCAGACTTCCTGACCTAGAGTGCTATCTGGGTCAAGGTTCAATGTCGATCGAGTGTGAGGTAGATGGCCATTTCGTCATTACGCCTTTGCGTCCGACTCGTACCAACAACACTAGCGCGAACCCATCGGATGCAGGCTCTCTGGTACCCTCCTTGATCAGCCGTCCTACCCATTACCCCTCCAACAGATCAACCATGTCACCTCGAGAGTCTATGCGAGGCCGTCCGCGCTTTGCGAACAGTCCGACGCTTGGCTGGGAACCATCCCGCCGACGATTTGGGTTCCACAGCGAGCCGTCCCCGGCATCTCTTCGCTCGCGACGGATGGAGATGTTTCATCGGGACAGGGTGCATGTAGCTGCAGTCCCTTCAATGCAGGTGTATCCAGAGATCAGCAGTGTATCCAACAGTTCCCAGCGACTCTCCGTGTCCCCGATAACTCCGCCGCCACAGTACCCCGGGCTGGTGCACATTGCCGGGACTGAAAGCTGGACCTCTAGCCCGGAAGAGCAGCAGGCCCTGGAGGCTACTGCAGATGACGTTATTGGTATGTGGAATTCTCGCGGTTGATCACTGAAATGAGGGAAATGGTGCTATCAGATCACTTGGGCGTTTGAGGTGTTGTCGTTTACAAGGCAAGGGAGTCTGTGTTTGGAATTAGGAACTGTGAAGAAGGTTACCAGGACGGCCTTCATATGGAATATTTTCGTTATTAAAAATAAGATAGTCGTGTGAGGCTCTGAAGTCCCCCAATGTCATCATGCTTAGAGACAGATCCGCGTGTTCTATAGAAGAAACAGGCAAAAGCTAGCGTATCAACTCAGCAAGCGAGTCTCACTGTCGCTTGGTAAAGCTCAACTGGCACTCATCCTTGAGAAAAGAGTCAGCATCTGCGAAGTTAGAGACTGAGACATGACCAGACACTTACCATTGGAAATAATGTAGCAAACACCCTAATCTCCTCCGACTTCTCCGTGGCATGATGCTTCCAATCAATCTCCAACGCCGCCTTGCCAATCATGGCAGCCATCGTCAGTGGCACATACCTCCTCGCAAGGCAATCATGTGGTCCAGCACCGAAAACGAGCCAATTCTTGGTCTTGGACTCGGCGTCTCCAGTGATCCATCGGTCAGGGTCGAAGAACTCGGGGTTGGGGTAGACATTGGGGTCGTGCAGGGCCGGGTAGCATGACGGAATGATCATGGATCCCTTGGGGACGGTATACTTCGGCGTAACAGGGAAGTTCTTGGTTGCAAGATAGGGAACGAAGATGACGGGTGGCCGGAGACGGAGGAGCTCCTTGATGACGGCGTTGGTGAAGGTGAGCGATTCCAGCATGGGGAGGTCAAAGGGCTTGGTGTTGTCGCCACCCCTCGCGGCAAGGTTCTCTTCGCGAAGGCGCTCAACAACGTCTGGTCTTTGCGCCAGGACTTGGAAGAGCCATGTCGTAGCACTGCTAGACGCATCCTGGGATGCGAAGAGGAAGGTGAAGAGCGTCTCTGAGATTTCCTCATTGGTGAATTCCCTGATCATGTTTGAAGGTCTCACAGCATCGGTGTCGCCAGCAGCAACCTTCTCGCGATACTTATTGGACTCCATCATGTGCAGAACCCAGTGGTCAACAATGGATGCCGGAGTCGCGCCCTTGGCCATGTTGGCTTTACACGCGGCCGCGCACTTTGCAAACTCAGCGTGGACCTGGTCAGCCACGCGCTTTCCGAGCCAAACTTTGGTTCCGGGAATGTACATAGAGAGAGGAACGTTGACGAGCTCGAGGGCTGCGGTGACGAGGTAGAAGTCGTCGGCGATCTTCTTGACGGCGTCTTGAGAAATGTAGTCGCCGAAGAAGGTACGGCACGATAGCGCGCAGTTGATCTCGCGGAAGAGAGCCATGTAAGCCATGGGATTTCCGTTGTTTGCCTCACTTGCGGCAACGAACTTGTCAAAGTACTCGCCCAGCACCTTCTCGTGAACTGGGAGGTATGTTGCCATTGCCTTGTTGGTGAACAGGGGCATCAGGCCTCTCCGGTACTCGGCATGCTCTTTGCCCTGAAGAAAGACCCAGGCTTTGTGGCCGAGGATATCTTTGGCGATGGGGACGATACATGGCTCGGCGTAGGCTGGAGACTTGAAGACTTTGTGGGCGATGTCGCGATCAGAAGCAAGAACAACGAACCTGAGATGTCAATGATCAGAGCATGCACCTTAGTGACCTTGAGGACTTGCTTCTTTGACTGAGCTAAAGTACTTACTTGTGGAAGACTGACACGCAGCTGAGGGGACCGCTCGCCCATTGGGCAAGGTACTCCTCGAATTTGGGGTGTAAAGCCTGGATGAAGGGTCCCATGAGGGGGATCTTATACGCAGGTCCAGAAATTGAGCCTTTCCTCTTGAGATACATCACTGGCAATATGTCAGTCTTTTTCTTGTTATCTTTGAGGAGCTCAAGGTCTGCTCGTACCCTGATCGTACACGACGACGCCAAGAAGGAAGGTGACGATGTACTGCCATGTTGACCAGCCCGAAAAGAAAGCCGGCAGCGTGCTAGGCGACAGAACCGTCTCATTAGACCATTTTTGCCTTACTACAGGCTGTACGATAGGCGTGTCGACGATTGCTGAAGCCATGTTAAAGTCTACAACGGTGTTGCTGGACCGTCTTTCCCGCCAGGAGAGCATCTAAGGGACATCTCGGCACCTCTTTAAAGGAAGCCAGTAGACCCATCAAAACGTCAAAGGGGGTTTCGTCTTGCGTATTCGTATCCTGTAAACACCATCAAGCACAATCTCATTTCAACTGGTCTCTGTCTGGTTGAACCACATGCAGAACATCGTTCGTTTCTCTTCCCAAACCGCGGAACAAGCCAGCCCTGTGAAGTCTTGGCATCTCATCGACCTGCGGAGACTAAACCTCTTTCGGTAATCAACTCGATGTTTGTCAGCAAACAAAACTGGAGTTTGACAAGGGAGGGAACTGAGCAGCGAGATCCCTAACGATTGAAACTGCGGCGACTAAACCCCTTTCGGTCAGGACACCGCAAGAAACGAACTCTCAAGCGGGAGCAGCTCTTCAGTCTTTCGCGGATACGCGGGCGAAGCTCTCAGACCATTGTCTCCACCATTGGATCACTTTCATCTCTCTCTCTCTCTCCTTTCGACCTCACGGAGGGACCATCGACTCACTCCAGTCCAATTCTTTCATGTCCTCATCGCCCCCAGTCCAGTCGATCTCGCACAAACATGCGCCAAACCCTCCGCCGGTCCTGTGCTGCGTGTGCAAAGTCTAAACACAGCTGCGACCTCCGCACGCCGCGGTGCTCCCGCTGCATCAAGCGCAAGGTCCTGTGCGCCTACGCCAACGAACCCCTGACGGCTGCTCCGGCTGCTTCCGGGTCCGCACCGGGGGGTAGCGCAACACCGTCGCCGGGACCTCCGCTGGACGGATCCAGTGCTTTGAACAACTATCGATTTGGATCTCTTGATCCTTTCGACTCTTATCCTCAAACTAGACTGCCGCGGCAGCAAGTTCAACGTCTTATTCATAGCTGTATGCCTATTACGACTAAACCTGTCGATCTACGTCTAGCTCATTAACCCATGTAGTTCTCCACAAGATCGCGTTCGAATACTACCCTCTAGATCTGAACGCGACGTCAAATCCATTCCTCGTCTCATGGTGGCCATTAGCTCTCGGTGATCCAGCATTATTTCACGTCTCTTTACAAACAGCATGCCTTGACGAAGAGTTGCTGGCTCAAAAAGGATTTCAGTCATCAGAAATTCTGATGGCGGATTCAGTTGCTCTACTTCGTCGGAAGGTTCAAGACGACTCAATGGCCATTCAAGATGGAACCATGAATTCAGTCATCACTTTAGCAGCTATCGAGGTGAGCCTGGCCTTGTTCATTTCAGCCAGAACCTCATGACGATTCGATGCTGTCACATGCTTACTGACTCTCTTCATGCAACCAGTTTGGCAAAGGAAATATCCAAGTTAGCGAAATGCACGTTGATGGAGTAAAACGACTTGTGAATCTGCGAGGAGGTATTAACTCAGTGAGACAAACTAGTCCACTGACTGCAAGGATGGTCAGCTGGTACGTTGAATATGGTCTTTCGGGCACAACATTTACGTACTAACGTTGTCTGACCTCGAAGGGTATCGATGATTGTCACTGGCCTGCCTCAGTTTGAAACGCAGAACGACGTTGGCATTGGCGACGGGGTCCCTACGCCTTCTGAATGGCAGATAGATCCAACTGTTTTAGACAGTAATCTATCCCATCTTGTAGATGTCGAGATTGACAAGGAGGTCGAAAACGTATTGATACGGCTTCGAAGTATTTTCCGACGCGCGCAGCAAGTATCGCTACAACCAACAAGACTACATGATCTTTCATGTTTTGTCATACACCGGCTCATGTTGTCTGCCCCAGAAGCAGCAGAGCCACGTTCGGCATCTAGTGAAAGTATCCGGCTGGCGACCATACTCTACATATTCATCATCCAGGGTCCGACGTATTACTCACATGCTGTCATATTCAACACGATTGTCAGTCGGTTTATGGAAAGTCTTGGGGAGCTCGTACCATACGCTCACTCCAGCAACAGTCTCTTCGTTTGGCTTCTGACTGTAGGCATGGTTGCCTCGCAGGGAACCCAGCACTACCCCTGGTTGGCTGGCTTGGCAAGGGATGCTGTGGCATTGACCCACGTGAAGAGCTGGAATGGTGTGCTAGCCCTTCTAAAGGTTGTTCTCTGGCTTGAAAGGCCACAAAGTGAACATATCTTCCGACCACATTGGGAAGTCATTTTGAGTGTTGAGAACATGGAACACTGCGAAATTGGCCGAGCCAGCCACTTGCCGCAACCACTGTAATATTATAAAAACGCGCAAAATTGAGATCAATCGGGCAAACTGACTATGAGTCGTTATTTGTTCTCTAGACTCATTTGAGTCTGGTAAGGATGATATTATAAGCGCTCTCGTCAGTGTATACAGTCGGCATAAATAGCGGCTAAGGATGTACAATGCGAGTATGACAAACTTCTTATGGGAGGGGGAGACCGCTTTCCCACGCATGTCATGTCCTTCGTCTTTCTCAAATATCCGCTCTGTGTCTCTAGTGGTACCATTTGGCCAAGGAGGCAGTACCCAAACCTCCAGAAAATCTCGAAGTCCGGCGATTTCACTATCCTGCTCACGGCCCGCGAACCGCTGAACACTTGCCTACCTTAGACTCAGGTTAGGCGCCGCTGTAGTGTATAATTGCCTGCGGTCTGCGTTCGTGACTGCGCACTGTCACTGTTGCAAGTTCCACAGTCAGTCGCGATTAGGCAATTGTAACCGTGAGCAAATGCGATCGACGGAGTATTAGTTGCCGTGAACAAGTACGACCAGGTGCAGCTGCTTCCAGAAAGAGCGCTGCCTGCAGGCGAATATGGGCCAGGTGGCTCAAGCAGGTGTACGAAGCATCTGACTGGCCGCAAAATGGGCTATTGACCCAATGGCAAATCTCATGATCAAGAAAGAAGGAGACAATGGGTTTCCGATTTCACGTTGTGAAGCCTACTTTTCGTCCGAGAGACCTTTTCTCAATACGTGGATAGTCCGACATCCCTACTTCAATCGATTCTGTTCTGGATGGACCAAACCACTAGTCCAGCCGTGCAGCTTCCGTTTATCTTGCTGTCATAGCAAGACCAGCTAATTGGCATTGACCGCAGGCGCCCAGTTCGGTGATCGACATTCGCACTACTGGGCGGCCGCATAGAAGCGACCACAATTCATATTTGACATTTCCCGTGGCTACAACTGGAAAGAGCGTTGTGCATTTCAGCCGTCGCCTGAGACCCACAAGACCACGTAGCAGCCTGATTGAAATCTTGACGCCCAAGTTTGCAACTGTCTTCATTCTTGACTCCTCCATACCATCAACTTCGACGAGTAAATCGACAAGATGGGTTTCTTGAACAGACTCAAGAAACGTTTTCGCCGCCCCAAGGATGACAATGCCTCCCAAGAATCGCCCAATACCCTGTCGGTTCCACATCAGCACGTCGGTGCATCCACGGACACGATATCCAGCCCTGGAGCTCTGAACGATTCCTCGATAGCACCGCAACCAACGTCAGCCATCGACCTCGGGACTGCTGCTCCAGAGATTCCACAAAACGGGACGACTGAACAGCCGCTCTCCCACGGAGACAGTGGCAGGTCTATTCGAAAGCTGTGGGATGTAGCATACAAGGACCTACAGGCTGAAGATAAATCCCTTGTCCAACAGTTCGAAAACGATATTCGTGGCAACTTGAGCGCCGGCATCGGTACTCTTGCACGTTCCCATATGGAGACGAAAGGCTGGTTAGGAACGATCCTTAAGCACAAGATCGAAGAAGTCAATCGGGACGCATGGAAGTTGCAATTCGGCAGCACCGAGGTCCAAGTCGAGGAAGTAGTGAAACCTGTCCTAGCGGTTGTCAATTGGGCCAATGATTTCGTTGCGAAGGCCGTTAGCTCAAATCCCTACGCATCGATCGCTTGGGGTGGTGTAAGCCTGTTACTGCCGGTTAGTCGATTTTCTCCGCGTCCGCTAGCCCCGAGAGACTGACGCTCGCTCTATCATCCATTCAGCTACTCCTGAACCCTTTAGAACAAGGTTCTTCTCTGGCAAAAGGCCTGAAGCACATCTCATCCATCATAGTTCGAAGCTCGATGTGGGAGGATCTCTACGTGCGGCGCTACGAGTCTGACAATAGTGAGCCTTCGCTGGGGTCTCACGATCAATACCGAACAGCCTTGAAAAGGCTGTATCAAGAAATCATCAGGTTCCAGATTGTTTGTTATCATCATTTCAATCACAAAACCGCCTCTCGAGTAGGACTAGACGCTGTGAAGCACAACGACTGGGAGGAGCTGCTCAAAGAGATTGAGTATCAGGAGACCCAATTCGACAAAGTGCTCAGCGATTGGCGCGACAGAATGTTCAATGACGAATGCGAGAAATCACAGGGGCGGCATGAACAAGTCATGATTCACTGGCAAAACATCGGCACAGATGTCTCTGACTTGAAAAGAAGAGTTGAGGAAATTCAGGAAGACGAGAAGCGCAAAGAGCTGCTCAGCTGGCTCTGCACCGTCGATACTTCGGTGCAGTATAACGCTGCGCGTAGCAAACACCGTAAAGGAACCTGCGAGTGGTTGATAAATGACAGCGAGGACTTCAAGACGTGGGAAAGGGCTCCCAAATCTTTCTTGTGGCTCAACGGCAAGGGTATGACACAATAGCACTGATTCGGTATCCACTGCTAACGACTTCCAGCTGGCTCTGGGAAATCGATTCTCAGCTCATCCGTCATCAAACACTTGAAAGAAAAGTCCGAAAAGGATCCTAGAGTTGCACTTGCATACTTCTTTTTCAGTTTCGGAAACATAGAGCTGCAAAAGGTGAACATCATGCTCTCGTCGCTTGTCAGACAACTGTGCGCAAGCCGCCCCGACACACCACAGCCGATCAAAGACTTCGAGACTTGTATGATCAAAGGAGAGCATCCAGACACGGAGACCCTTGTAGAGGCACTAATAGCTGCCGTTTGTGGGTTTTCAGCGGCATACATTGTTGTAGACGCTCTCGATGAGTGCCCGATTCTTGACGAGGAGCGAACGAGGCTTATGGACTGCCTCAGTAATATCATTGCCAAAATGCCTGATAACCTCCATATCTTTTGTACGAGCAGGGCTGAGCCGGATATTGGCACTAAGTTTGAAGAGTTGCTGTCTGTGCCAACAAATAAATCCATCAGTCTCATGGAAAAGCAGGCGGGCTTAGATAGTGATCTAAGTCTGTACATCGACACAACCTTAGCTACTGGAACGTACCAACATTGGCCTCCCGAGATCAAGACCGAAGCCAAGGAATCATTACTCGCGAAAGCGGATGGAATGTAAGTTAAGATAGTGGAGTGAAGTACTTGAGCATATGGGGAAAACGACTGCAACTAACACGTGTCTAGGTTTCAATACCTTGTCAGCCATTTCGAAGTTCTCCAAAAGTTGAATTCAAGAGGGGAAATACGTTCAGGACTTCGGAATTTGCCATCGGGACTTGACGCAACATATAATAGGCTCCTTCTCGACCTAGACCCCGCTTCTCAACCTCAGATCCTAGACTCGCTGAAGTGGCTAGCTTTTTCAAGCAGACCACTGAGTCTCGCCGAACTTGCCGAAATATTCATTTTCCGTCCTGGGGGTGTCATCGACCTAAAAGAAGAGCGACTTTTTGCCCCAGAAGGGGTTTTGAGATATTTCTCAAGCCTCGTGACTACCGAGACAAGAGAATACTATACCTATGGAAGACGGGAAACAATCACAGCTGTCCGCCTCGCTCACTTCACAGTCAAGGAGTATTTGATATCTAATCGCATCGAACGAAGCCCTGCAAAGCAGTTCTGGTTTACGGAGAGGAATGCTCACCTGCACATCGCTCATTGCTGCCTGTCTTATCACGTCAGCCAAAGTGCCGAGGCCAAAGAGTCTGACTATGAGCTGGAAAGCTACGCATCCGAGAATTGGGTAGGGCACTTAGACCTAGTTCCGCGCGATGAATGGTCGTCTGAGGTTGTCCGGCTCGCTGAGCGTGCCCTCTCCATCCGCAGTGACAGCTTGGAACTGCTTATACGGATTGGACCACTATCTAATTTTAGTCGGCTGGGATGGTGGTTTACCGAAATTGAACGGGTCAACATGCGGCAGCGGCCGTATTGCTACACTGCCGGGCTCGGCTCTCTGAATCTCACCAAACTCCTGCTTCGTGGAGGTTCGAGAGCCAGCATGTACTTGGTTCAGGAGGATCTCAACTTGACCCTCCGAGTCGCTGCCAAAGCAGGTTATCATGATATTGTACGATTTATTCTTGCCCGATGTGCACGTGACAAAGCACAAGACGCGGTCACTGTCGGGCCGCTACAGGCTGCGGCGGACCGAGGACATTTGGCCATAATAAGCCTCTTGCTAGACAGTGGTGCAGATATCGATGCGTACGATGACGAATTCGGGTCGGCTTTGAAGGCCGCGGCCATGAACAATCAGCCAACAGCACTACAATTACTCCTGAGCCGCGGGGCTGACGTCCGCAAGGCAGGTTGTCTTTTGTCGTGCTGGATATCGACTTGTGGGGAGAAGTACAATGTCCCGGGAAATACTGAAGTTTTGCAGCTTCTTCTCGACAGCGGTGCTGATATAAACAGCAAGTGTGCAAGACACGGAAGCCCACTGAATCAGGCAATCACGAGGTGGTTAAGTCAGAAAACGCGTAGCTTTTTTGACTTTGTTGTAAGGCACGGCGCCGACATTACATTGGATGATGGGCGAGAGGGCACCCCGCTCCAAGCGGCATGCCTCACAATGCGGCCCCTTGGGGTTGTCGACCCGTCTCGAAGCATGGCAGTGATTGAGGCCCTGCTAGACATGGGGGCCGACGTGAATGGCCAGGGTGGGGAGTGCGGTAACGCATTACAAGTGGCATGTGGTAGACAAGATGACGACACTAGTGTGATTAGTCTGCTTCTCGACAAAGGCGCGGAAATCAACCAGCTGGGAGGCCGCTATGGAACAGCATTACACGCCGCCTGCTCGAAAGCGGGCCCAAAGTTGGTTAACTTCTTGCTTGCCAAAGGTGCTGACCCTACGATAGAGGGTGGGGAGTTTGGAAGCGTCTTGCAGGCGGCATGTTCCAACTACGACCTAGACCACCGTCTAGGTATTGTGAAGAAACTGGTCGAACAGGGCGCCGATATCAATGCTGTTGGTGGCAAATTCGGAAGCGCGCTGCAAGCGGCAGCTTCAAACGAAGTCCCATTACTTTTCAATCGCGAGAGTGGGAATGTAGAAACCTTTTTGCTCAGCAAAGGCGCAGAAGTCAACATGCAGGGAGGGATCTATGGCACAGCACTTCAAAGCGCTTGCGAAATAGGCAAGATGGAAGCGATTCGCTTGTTACTTTCTCATGGTGCAGATGTAAATGTTGAGGGCGGAACATACGGGACTGCACTTCAGGCGGCTTGCTCGTATCAAGTGTGGAGAAAGGGCTCTTACGACATGGCACGCCTACTCATAGAACATGGCGCCAACGTACATGTTCAAGGCGGCCTTTTCGGGAGCGCCTTGCATGCTGCTGCTACGACTCCTCACTGGATGGGTGAAGACAACGAACCGATGAGGCTCCTCCTCGACCATGGTATCGATATTGACAGCATAGGCCGACCATATGGCACTGCTCTGCAAGCTGCCCTTGAGATCGTGCAGGATGGCCACGGCCTCGTCCCCAAGCTCCGGTTTCTTCTCGAACGCGGCGCTGATGTCAACTTAGGAGGCGGTCAATATGGATTTCCTTTGCAGTCAGCGTGTGTACCGCGTTGGAGCAGTATCTGCGGCCTCATCTACCTCCTCGAAAACTGCCCCGGAATCAACGTCAACATGACAGGAGGGCTATTTGGCACGGCTTTACAGGCAGCAACGTCTCAAGGCATGACAAAAGGCGTTGAGCTGCTACTTCAGAAGGGAGCCGACACCAATGTTCGTGGCGGAAAGTACAGAAGCGCACTCAATGCGGCCATCTTCAAAGGGTATTGGGATCTGGTCGAGATACTGCTGGATGCTGGAGCCAAGCCAGACTTTTATCATCTTTCCGAACCCGACGAGGAATGGCTGGAAAGTATTGGCAGTGAAGATGGGAAGGGCGCTGTGGATCGTTACAGGAAGTTTTGGGAGATAGAGACGCTGAAATTGAGCCAAGGCAAGGCGGTAAAAGGGGAGAATGACTAGCCATTTCCGTTCTGATTAGGATCATGTACTGCCACATAAAAGGTACTGAAATGATCATGTTAGCTACTACAGTCTACTGCAATATCGCTAAAGCGAAAGAAATCATTCATTGGACTCATTTGCAAGCTGCTGGTTTGAAGTGTACCATCATGACTTTGGACAACTGGGCCAACTAAGACATCCATGTGGTTTTCTGGTATGACAACAAAGATCCAATCCTGTCATTTCTAATCTTTCACGTTGATTACCTGGGAGAAGTTACGATTGGTCTATCATTTCATCATACATAAACTATATCCGACCTGTTCAAAACCAACTACCCTCGGATTCTGCCGTCCCATACCGCTTTCACGTAAGAAAGGAGAGCACGCGCGGTTTACTTTTCACACGACAATGCACCCTTCCGCAGCACAATATCAACAAAGCAACGCATACTTACCAAAGTATGATTGCGTTACCGAATTCATATAATAGCATCGATGAATACGCGAAAGATCTCAGCGAATTCATTGGAGCGCCCCTAGTCCGCCAGATTACTGGGGACATCCACGTCAACGACTCACTCATCTACAATGCCTGGGACGCTCTACCCGTGGAATGGACATCCTGGTGGAAATCATTCCCAGATCATCGCATAGCCCAACAAGACTTGATCGACAGCATTGAAGAGCTGGGACCCCCCTTACTGGCAAATGAGGAAGCAAATGAAAGCCAACGACACCAACAATTGTCAGACAGGCCAGATTCACTGTCTAAGTGGCTCGAGAGCATCCGATCGCTCGCTCTTCCACGAGACCAACGCCCCGGCAAGACTATCGCCCTCCCAGAGATCCTAACAAGCCGCATGAAGACCAAAAAGATTGCAGAGGTCTCCACCGCCGCCGCATACATCCACAACGTCTGCCAAACAAACAACATAACCCACATCATCGACATGGGCTCAGGCCAAGGCTACCTCTCCATCGCACTAGCCTACCTCTTCCCAGAGCTCCGCGTCCTAGCTATCGACGGCAGCGAGTCCCAAATCGCGGCCTCAAAGGCCTGCGCAGCCAGTCTCGGTATCCCCAAAAGCAGAATCCAGCATATGCGGCGCTACATCGACGGCACGCCACCTTTGGCGGACGAGATGGCGGCCTGGGCTGAAGACGAGAAGTGCATGCTGGTCGGGCTCCACGCGTGCGGGAATCTCTCTGAGCACATGCTGAGGTACTTCGCCACGGTCCCGTTCATCGTGTGTCTGGGCGCCGTCGGATGCTGCTACAACCACATCGTCCCGCGTTCCGCCAGTTGTCCTGATGGATTCCCCATCAGTGCAAAGATGCGAGACAGAAACGTCACGTTGAGTGCCACGGCGCTCATGACGGGCTGCCAGGCGCCGAATAATTGGGAAAGGGCAGACCCGAGCAAAGCAGAGTCGACGTACTCCAAACGTCGCTTCTATCGAGCCTTATTGGAGAAGATTTTCCACGATAAAGGGATAGAACTCGATAAGGAGGATCGACCGGTGTGGGGCGTGCGAAAGGGAGACATGGATAGCTTTAATGCGTTCGCACGCAGAGCAATGGGATGCCTGAACGTTGACGAGAGCAAAATCAGCGATGCTGATCTCTTAGCTTATGAGGAAAGGTATCGAGGATATGAAGGCAAAGTGGCGATCCTGTGGACGCTCAGTGTTCTGTGCTGCAAGGTTGTCGAGAGCGTAATTGCTCTAGATCGGTATTTGTTCCTGACGGAGAACGGGGGGCAACATGTCGATGTTGTGCCGATATTTGATTATACAATATCGCCACGGAACCTGATGCTCGTGGCTGATAAGACATAGATGCGTACTTTACCAGTACCTAGACTAAGGTAAATCATGCACCATGGAGTATGGCAGAAATCGCTCGCAGACATCATTTTGAATCGACCTCTTATCTTGAACACATACTGCAAACAGGCCAGGCACCAGAAATGAAGCCATACCTTTCAAGCCATGCTTGAGCGTCGAGATTTTGTTCATCATGGAGCAACTTCTACCTCACGACATTTAGGTGTCAGGTGGTCTAAAGGTCGGTCTCATGAATACAATATATTAAAGCCAACTATGTACACAGAATCCAATACACAAACCCCGAGATGCAATCTCAACACACTCCCACCCCCTTCATATCTTAGAACATCGCAAGGGCAGCAAGACCACACACGGCCGCGACAGCGACCCCGAAAGACGCACGCCCAGCAGACGCAACCTGCACAACAGAAGGCAAGGGCTTCGCAGTAGCAGTAGGCGCCGCACCGGTAGCAGAACCAGAGCAAGCGGTAGGCGTGACAAGCGAACCGTCAGGTCCGAAGGGGCTGTAGCCGAGGCAGCCAGCGTACTGAGCAGCGCAGGTAGACATGTTGGCGCCGGGCGCGCTGCGGCACTTGTTGTAGGCGTCGTTGCAGCCGGCGACGCAGGCGGCGCCGGTGGTCGCGGGGGGGAGGACGCCGGTGGCGATGGGAGGGACGGCGGTGCCGGTGGGAGGGGCGACGGTGGTGATGGGAGGGACGGCGGTAGCGGTGCCGGAGCAGGCGGTCGGGGTGACGAGGGAGCCGTCGGGGCCGAAGGGGCTGTAGCCGAGGCAGCCTGCGTAATTTGCGGCGCAGGTGGCGCGGTTGGCGTCGGGGGCGGAACGGCACTTGTCGTAGGCGGCGGCGCAGGTGGCGGCGCACTCGGGGCCGGTGGGAGGGACAATGCCGGTAGTGATGGGAGGGACGGCAGTGGCGGTGGGGACAACGGCGGTGCCGGAGCAGGCGGTGGGAGTCACGAGGGAGCCGTCGGGACCGAAGGGGCTGTAGCCGAGGCAGCCTGCGTAGTTTGCGGCGCAGGTGGCGCGGTTGGCGTCGGGGGCGCCGCGGCACTTGTCGTAGGCGGCGGCGCAGGTTGCGGCGCACTCGGGGCCAGGGGCGACGCCGGTGGGGACGGGGCCGGTGTGGGTGATGGTGCAGGGGCAGTCGGTGATGGTGAAGGTGGTGGGCTCCTTGATGGTGTAGGTGAACTTGCCGTGGTAGATGACGGTGGGCTCGGGGCAGTAGGTGGTGATGGCGGTGACGACCTGGGTGTAGGTGCCGTTGGTGAGGAGGGCGGCGACGGGGGCGGCGACGACGGGGGCGTCGGCCACGGGCGAGCCGGATGTGAGCTGGGCGGCGCTGATGATCAGCCCGGCCAGGAGGGGAGCCACGTGAGAAGACATGTTGTTGGGGTTTGGGTGGTGAAGACCGTGTGGTGTGAAAAGAGTGTGGTATGACTTGATGTCAAAGTGGTGAATGAGTGTGTGGGTTGAGATGGAAAGAAAGTTGAGTCTGTAGGAGAACTTTGATCATGATTTATAGGACATCGAGTTGAAGCCAAGACGGTGAATTAAACGTAAACATTTCAGCTAGCGTTGATGGCCAAGGGGTAATTTGTTGGTAAAACTCGGATCACATCCGGTCTGGACGACATTTTACATTCCGGTGCTGTTGTGTTTGTCGTGCCTCGCTCTCCAGCAAGAATTCACTTAGTCGCGTCTCGTATTCTCTTCCCAGGAACTTCGCTCTTAGTCCCTCGTATCTCTGCTAGCGTTCTTCCCGTCATGCCTGCCGACCGACTAACGCTCTTCTGCGTTCTTTCATCCTGCCGCGCCTATTCTAATCTTAAAACGCCAAAGTCTTAGCCATTTTCCTGGGGAAGAGGCGAGGGAAAGGGGGTGAGTGTCGGCGCCACGGTAGTGGAATGTACGCCATCTCGGCTATGGCTATCAAATCAACAACGTCAATCGTGCGTCAATCGGACTTTGGTCTCACCCCAGAGTTCATCTCGGGCCGGAATGTTTTATCCATGCTAACGAGTCACCGCCCGTGTCTCTTGACACTTTTCATATGGCATGCGCCCCCGCTTGAATGTCACAGGTCGTGGTCAGGAGTCAAGGGAGGATGTCTGATACGAGATTTATCTAGTAGCCTTCTCATACGATGGCGACGGACCGGCTGGCTCGGAATGGACTCCGACAGAGGACAAACTTTAAGAAAATTTCCTGTTCTCACATTGGCAAAAGTATTTGGATGATCAATTGCCTCAAACCATCTACCTTAGCATTAAGTCTTTACCTAATAACAATCTTCGCCGGAACTTGGGTAAGATTGAGTGTTCCTCTCAACAAGCGAGCACACAGACGACAAGGGCGAACGCAGACTGGACAGCACTCATCCTACCATTAGTAGTCATGTGGCACGCGATACCAACAATACTGGTAGTGAGTTCATGTTGTCACTCGATTCAAGTAAGATTACTTAGCTGAGGCACAGCTGAAAGGCTGTCCTAGCTTTAGTCATCCTTCAAACCCAGTATGCAGAGAAATCCAGTCATCGCCCATCACCTTGAAGCTTCCTCAAAGTGCTTCCGCTAAGCTCTGAGACAATGACATTAATGTGTGACAATGGTCCAAATTATGTACAACACCATGATCTCCAATGGGTGCCCTCGACTCACTACACTATTCTCCTGGTGAAGGCACCATTGCTGACCTCGAAACCACCTCGACACCCAGATCGCTCAGCCGGCGGTCTCAAGCGCCGAACCTACAGAGATTTCGCTCCAAGAGACCACGTCTTAGTCGGGGTTGGCATGCCCGAGACGGCCGCTCACTTCCTCTCCCTGACGTGCACCTTCATCTTCATATCGTGCCTCGGCCTAGCCTCCATACCAACCATCTGAAAAGCCAAATCGCCCACCTTGTGATCGATATCCATGTAATCGACCCTCTGCGTAGTCCCATTCACAATTGTCTCGAAATCGAACCACCGCACCGTGAGCAACAACATGATGCGCAGCTCATCCATGGCCAAATCCTGCGCAATACACGCCCTGGGCCCGCGCTCAAACGGCCGCCACGCAAAGCGGTGCATATCCTTGGCGTCCTCGCCCAGGAACCGATCGGGCCGGAAGCTCTTGCTGTCCTCGCCCCAGACTTTCGGGTCCATGTGCGTCGAGTGGGCGCAGGGGATGACCATGAGGTTCTTGACGGGCCAGCGGCGGCCGTTCCACTCGAGGTGCGTGGTTCCGGGCGGGGCTTGGCGGATGGTGAAGCCGATGGGGAAGAAGCGGAGCGTCTCCTTGATGACGGCATTGGTGAAGTCCATGTCGTTTGTCTTTTGCGGGTTCGCGATGAGCATCTCGACGGTGGTGTCGAGGTCCGGGGAGAAGTGCTCGTCGTGCTCGGCGCGGAGGCGCGCGACGACGTCTGGGTAGAGGGAGAGGAACATTGTGACCCAGGTGAAGGTATCGGTGGTGGTGCCGTGGCCTCCGAGGAGGAGGGCCTTGAGGCTGGTTTGGTTTATTAGCAAGAATGAACGTCTGATGCGTGAGAAAAGAATCGACTAACTTGGTAACAGCGGTGTCGATGAATTCGTCGTCGAGACCCATGCCCGGTCCGCTCTGGATTCTGTCCAGGACGATGCGGTCCAAGACACTCTTGACCTGTCGTCGCGAAGGCAACTCCTTCTCGTCCTGCAGGATGCGCAACCTCTCCTTCATCTCCTTAGCCAAGGTATCCCTGACGCGATCCTTGAGCGCCTGCAACTTCTGCTGCGCCTTGCGCTTCTTCCATGGGTTGCGGGTGCCGATGAAGGTGGTGGCGGGGTTAATCGAGTTTCGCAAATCCTCAAGCAGTGGCGAACCAGACCTCTGGGCCTCGAGAGAGACACCAAACACAATCTTACCGACAACGTCAAAGATGGTCTTGGCCGACTCCTCCTCCATGTTGAACGACTCGCCCTTGGCAGCAAACGCGCGGAGGCGCTCGTGGAAGATGAGGACCTGCTCGGCAATCATGCCGGCCATGGGCTTGACGTAGGTGGGCGTGAAGCCGGAGCCGACCATGCGGTGGTTGTACTTCCAGCGGTCGCCGTTGGAGGCGGCGATGCTGTCCTTGCCGGTGAAGGGGCGGAGGAACTGCTCGATGGTGGGGTGCTTGGGGTAGGGATTCGTGGTGAGGACGAGCTGGGCGGCGTCCGGGTCGGTGATGATGACCTGGGACTCGACAAAGGGCCACATGTCGACGTAGAAGATTCCGCCGAGGTTGTACTTTTGCGCCATGATGGTATAGATGTGCTGGGGGTGGGTGAAGAGCGGGAGGGTGGCTGCCAGCTCTTCCCAGATGATTGTGTGCGCCCAGATCCATGAGTGCTTTGGCGGTTGAGGCTATCGTGAGAAGACACCAACAGAGTCAGCATTGTGGCTTTCGTGAGCTGCATGCTTTGCGCCTGTCTGCATGGTCGCTGGCGCAGGACGTGACGGAGTGAGTTGAGAATGAAGCTCTTACCAATCCTCTGAATCTGGTTCTCATGTACACGGCCTTGAAAGCCCAGTACACGGCCGTGGCGAGAGCCACGCTGGCCGCGATGAGCCAGTTGGAAACGCCAAACATCGTGAGCCTCAAAGCTTGGGGGGTATCGCCAAGCTATTTCCCGAGAAGATGACAAAAGGGAGGGGAAGAAAACGAAACAAAAAGGGACGAAAGAACTCTTGCTGCCCACACGCGCAGTACAAAAGAAGAGAAAAAACTACGTAGTGAAGGAGATGGCGGGGTATTAGGGTCAGATTTCATCTACGACCTACCAATCCTAGGCTCTACGTAATGTCACATTCGGGGCAGAATAACCAGAGGAAAAATGCCTCTCTCTCACTCTGACTTTTTTTTTCTTCAGCAAGGGGGGGTCTGTAAGTTTGGTCCTTTCGATGTGATCGTCCTCCCGCCAGTGCGTCTTACTGGGGGGAGGGGGTGTGAGATGCGTCAAGATGGTTGCATCCTTTGTTGAACGGTGGGGTCGAGAGGATCAGATTAGATGATCTGATAAGATGATTGAAAGAGATCAGTGATTGCGGATTGGATGAGCTCAGAACGGTCGACAAGGGTGGGAAGGGGAGGGCGTGAGATGAGTAAAAAGGCCACGCAGGAACTACAGAAATTTCCCGGAATTGGTTCCATGTCGTGATGAACGAGGGGGCGTGGATGGTGGTCAGAAACGCCGTGGGCCCCAGTTTCAATGGCTTCAAGTTGTTTAGCGCGGGTTTGCAAGCTTTTCGCGGCGGACTCGACCAGTCAACGTGCGGAGGATTCAGTTTTGTTTTGTCAACGGTCCGGTCCGCTCATCGGCACTGAGATTCAGTGACGATGCGGCGTTGCTTCGTCTCTTCATACAGCCACCTGAAGCTGCTAGGTGCGTGTGATGATACGCCCATGTCGAGTGCGCTGGAAAAGATTTCTTCATCGACTCTTACGGTTACTGCATTTTGCACTTCCGCGGCCAGTTACTAATGTTGATGCTGGCTGAATGGTACGTTGTATCCATTATGTTTTTGCGTGCAGAGAGCTAGGCGGGATGTGGGTGGGAGTCCGCCGATGCGTGGCCGATGACCGAGGAACCTTCAAGGATTCGAAAAAGGTTCGACCGTGAGATGGTGCGCCTAGCTTTCATCGACCTCCTTGAAGTATCGTGGGCAGGCTTCTTCCTGGCCTCACGGAGGGAGCTTTTCAAATCCGACCGCAACTGAGACTTAAGAGTGCCGAAGCTTCAATGCCTGGCAATGAAGCTAGATGCCAGACTCAATGACGGAGAATTCTGTGAACCTCACTCTCAGAGACAATCCACCACCACATAATCCACATCCCGCCGGTGGGATAGGTCCACAGGGCCTTGGCTGGGCTGCTGAATTGCGTCTTCTCCATCGCGACGGGGAGTCAGCGGGGAGTCAACACGAGCTTCAAAGCCAATGAATGCATGCTGCAGTTCAGTAGTTGTACCGCTTACCATGCATAGCAATTCAAGATTTTCGTACAGATTAAGTAGGCCAACATCGGCATCTTCCCGCGACTGTAAAGCGATCTTTTGCGATTCTGGCTGCTTGCAGCATGAACTTCGGGCGATCCACAGAGGAACAAAAGCGAATGTGTACTCGGTGCGCGAGGAGGGGCTTAGGTGGGGGAGAAGAAGAAGAGAAAAAACACCGCTTCAGACGAACCCCTGCTTCTTCAGCAGATGCTAAGCTTTCTAGGACAGCGGCACGGCGGCTACGATCTTGACAGCACCAACAAAGTTGAGCATTTCCACTGATGGAAAAGGCTGGCGCATGTGAATACTGTGTTGGTAGGTAAGTAGGTACCTTGCTTCATGCATTAGTAACTGACGGCAAAACGTCAGCTATCTACCGTGAAACCCCAATTACATAAGGTACTTGCTTATGTAATCTCAACGTTCCATGTGAAATCGAAAACCGACTCGTAAGCCATAAAAAGACAACAACTGGTCTAAACAAAAGGCAAAAGTTCCGAAACCGAGAATCGAACTCGGGGCTATGCCTAACCTCTCAGGAGAATGAGAGGGCATCATGTTGGCCACTACACCATATCGGATGTTGATGTCAGATGGTCAAAGATTGAGGCTCGAGTATTCTGTGTGCTGAGGGTGGAGCTGGTGCTGGGCTTACCCTAGGTCTCCTTCCCCCAAGGATAGTGCCAGTGACGGCGTGTCAGGATAGCGGCTAGCCGCATCGTCTTCTCTGTCATGTTCTCATTCAGGTTGGAAATGGAGACCGGACACGAAAAACAACTCGAGGACGAGGAAAAGAGAAGGACGAGAATTAGCTGTTCTCCGTGCCAGAGCTCCAAGGTGGATGCACAGCTTACTAGACGGAGGTCTCCAGGTCTTCTTCACGGACAACAGAAGCGGCGTAATAACGCACGCAATCGGCTCCGGGCAAATTGTGTTCAACGGACAACCGGTGCGCGCCAGGTGCCGTTCATGTCGTCCTCGATCATATGTGAGGACGCCAAGGCAGCATTCGATGTAGCCAAGAAATGCATCATGTATGGCTGCTTTGCCTCGCTGGGCATGGATCGCGTACTCATCTCATGTTCAAAGTGGGCGCCATCCGCATCACAAAGCCGCCCATCTCATCGGCATGGGCCGTAGTTCGACTCGACCAAACTTTCATTGGACAAAAACCAACAAGTCCGTCCCGAAACAAAAGGATTATGACAAGAACGAGATTCGAACTCGCGCGTGTTTCCACACCAGCAGGATCAGATTTAACCTGAAGCTGGCGCCTTAGACCGCTCGGCCATCTTGCCATGGAGCAAATTGCGGAAGCGGGTTGGGACCCGCTGCGGAGTGAGGTCCGACCAGAGGGTCTCAAGACGACGCGGCGGAGCCGACTCCGTAAGCAGTGACTAGCAGTGCACAAGGGAGCAAACGACGAGTACTCGAGAAAACAGAGCGAATGAATTGCGTTGCTAAAAGGTATCTTGGTTGAAATCAAAACCGGCTAGAATGGTGGTATCATCGGATCCTCTGATATTGCGTCAACGCCCATCCCTGTACGTTCATCCCGTGTGTCTCCCACCAAGCTTAACTTTCCGTATTATCCTTATTGAACTTGTTTGTGTGTATAACCTTTGTCGAGGAGTTGTGTAAAACCGACCCGCTTAGGCAGTCTTCTTGCCGGTAGCGACCTGTCGACCTTGCGAGGTGTACCGGACGTAGGCATAGCCGCCGGCCGCGATGACGCCAATGATGACGAAGTTGCCTGTTGGTAAAGGAGATCAGCAAGAAGACGACGAAGAGCTGCATTGGTGACGTGGGACTTACTTAAGACAAATTTTCCGAGTCCGCCAACGACATCGATTGCGCCTTGGAATACGTCGGTAATGAGGTTGACGAGACCGGTGAAGAAGCCGATGATGGTGTTGAAGATGGTCTGCAGAACGTGATAAAAGGCGTTGAAGATGGAGGAGAGGAGCTCGTAGATGCTACTAAACAGATCCTGGATTGCATTGGAGACGGCCATGGTGACGGTTGTGATAGTGTTGTGGTTTTGGTATTGTTGGAGTGTCTGGTTTGGGAACGAGCTTGGGAGTCTGGATGCGATCGGGCAAAGGTGAATAAATGGGAGCTTCAGATTTAGCTCCAACAGCTCGAGAGGTCGATTGAAAACTGGCCGCACCGTTAGGTAGCTTTAAGAAAGGAGCCCACGCGGACGACAAACAACGTCCTTGTGACGCGATGGGCGCTGCCGCCTGAGACTTGGCTAACCCCAAGCGAACCAAAGCGGCGGGTTGGCGCAGGCAGGAGCCGACGCCAGTAACTGCCATGTGTGGTGAGAATTGTCGCCCGTGACGTCGGCATCGTGACGTCACCAGCCACACAGGCAATCACACAACGTTGTTCCAGCCACGCACCTTCCCATTCGTGCCATTCTCACCAGTAGCAATTGGGCAGCAGGAGCAGATACGTACTCCGCGCACCATACCTGCCACAGGAAGGAGGATAGAGCGGAGGGGTTCGTCCGGGCGGGAAGGAAAGGGGAAGGGAACCGATATTGTCTCTCGCTTGTGGCTGCCGTCATCACGCATTCAAGCCACCTTTTACCCACGTGCCCCTGTCTCCTCATCCAGGGCATGCTAAGAAAGGGAGGAGGCGTTTGCACGGCCTGGAGCCCCGAGCACCTCAATCACTTCATGTTTTTTTTCCACATCGTACGGTATGCATCGTTCCCGGTTGTTAGTGATAGAGAGCTGTACCCTACATCCACCGATCGTTCTCGGGGGATAGCAAGTTGAGAATCCAGCGACTCAGAGCTCGTTGGATGTACGGCCTTATACTAAGCATCTAGAGGTGATTCCGCAGTGCGGAATCCATGAGCTTTCTATGCCATCCCTAGTCCTCTGATCGACCAAAACGTGGGCGAAGCCATTCTCGTTACAGCGCGCTGCATTGGCTGAAATCAAACAGTTCAGAGGGGACCAGCTATCGTATCGATGCCTGTGCGACAAGTTCAAAGATTGTACTTGGATATTTGTCTATGTGCCATCTGTTTCAATCTTTATACATAAACAACATGAGTCGCCTTCTTCCATCATAGAAGAAACATCTATCAAACTAATACCCCAAGCCAAAAAAAAAAGAGCTCCTTAGTTGGCGGCGCAGTTGTGAGGGTTGCCAGTACCGTCAGCCTTCTCCTTGGCTCCAATACCGCAGAACTTGAGATCCTTGGTGTAGTACACACGCATGGGACCAGGGCGGTTGGTAGTCCCCTTCTTGGCGTTGAAGTCGTAGCGCTTGCCGTCTGCCAGGACAGGGAGCTCGTAGACGGTGCCGGAGCATCCCGAGGCAAATGTCATCACATTGCCCCTGTTGTCAAACGGCTTGGGGTATCCGCTGGAGCCTGCGGTGGTCTTGGCTTCGCGGAGGTATCCGATGGATGTGTCGTATTTGACTGTTCCGTACAGGGCGCCGTCGTTCTTGGCTCCTGCCTTGCAGGTGTAGGACTATTGAGAGATGATTAGTTTTGATGCGATTTAGAGATGGTTGGCAGGAAGACTATGGAGTAATTACCTGGCCGGACTGACGAGTCTCGATGGTGCCGTCTTCGCCCAAGAGGGGGGTCGGGCTGGCGATGCTGGCGGTGGCAGCAAGAAGAGTGAGGATGTAAGTGTAGGAAACCATCTTGACGGATTGATGTTACTGAAAGTGATTTGCGAAGTGAGTGTGAGAAACGGTTGAATGTTTTCAAGTTGTAAAAGAGTGTAAGAGGCTTTGAAGTACCGTTGGATGAGGAGCGAGCTTGGGATTTCATCATTTTGACGGTGCAAGACGACGCTATTTATCCCATGAAGTTGAGCACTTGTTGTTTCTTCTCTTCTAGGCCTCCAAGATGTCTCGAGGGAACTTGTCGGCCATGTTCCCGGTCTAGCCGAGTGAACATGGTCTATGCTCACACTTCGTTGCGAGTCAGTGACGTATCAATGTACGGCCGCCAATATGATCTGCTTAGGTATATCTCAGAGACCTAATTATATTCTTACCTAACTTTGGCTACAGTCGGGACATAATAAGATGAGCTTCGATGTATCATGTAGACCATGAACTCAATCACGACATAGCCTAGGCTCAATATACTCAACTTTCAAACAGACTATGCCAACTTACTTTCACAACTAGACATGAACACGACTCTTCGCATCTCTTGTTATCAGACATACATGATAGGTCATAAATTCTCCATAAGGTATTAGAAATTGCTAAGATATTTGCTGGTATTGAAGAAAAGTTGATACTTGCGTGCATCTCAATCTTTGATAGCTAGATGCCGGCGTGCAATGGGGCCGAAGTTCTTTTGCAACATCGAAAGAGTAAAGGATCCCAAAGTAGCATTCAGCCATCTCAATTCGGGCCTACATATTCCCTGGCGAGCCGACTTACACCTTCAAAGCATCAATATATGAGTGAAAGACAACAAGGTCATTTGTGAAAGATCCTGAATGACTGTCAAGTGAGTTACCCTATTCCTACGCCATAATACATCGGCTAGACGTGCCGAACGAGCGTGTGTGATGACTCCGCCGGTCAGCACCAGGTCCATTTTTATGAGACTTTGACATTGCCAATCATGGAACTGTATGTTCGCCGAGTGTTCATGGCTATCTCCACCAAATGTAACCTCGCAGCGAGCGGGTTCATGCCTCCATAGCCGGCCTGGACGATGCGTCTTCTGAGTCCAAAACAACAAACACCGTCTCTGTTATCCAAGTATGCCAAGCTACAAGTCATCATCTCATCAGCCGTAATAGAGCACTCCAGGGCTCGCCTGAAATCCGGAACGAGCGGAAGTCTAAGTGTTGATATTGCTTCTAGGTATGTTGCCAACGTAATAGCATGTCAAATAGCTCAAACTTCAACGTCAGCTTGGTAACAAACTTCAGATAGACTAGAAAGCCGGGGTATCTGTAGATCATGGTTCTAAGAAAGGCAGAAAAATCGAACGACCTCATTCTTCTGCCTAGAAATCTCTCTCCTTCGGACGATTCAAACATCATGCTTGGCACGGGACCGGGCATTGCCATCACCCCTTTTATCGACAGCAAGGTTCATAGGACGACCAAGTATAGCTAACATACCCCAAACAAATCACGTCTTTAGACTTTGCTAAACTTTGGTTGCCTAGCAGAAAACGAGCTCTGGGCGTCTGAAGTTCATGGTGCACCGGCGCCCCGGCACGGGTTGACGGCATGGCGCCGTCTGAGGGGAAAAGGCGGGGACCCCCTTTTAGGGCTGTGCAGGGCGCCGACGGGGACGCCGGGCCCCGAAACACGGTCGCCCATCCTGGCACGCACTGCGGCCTGGAGGCGCCATCCCTGGGGCCTGAAGAGGCCTGGCGACTTTCCCTTTCCAGAAGCCGGGCTTTTATTTATGGGCTAGGGGGTGAACTCTAATTGAAAGTGTTCGCCGGATGACGGCAGCTTAACTTGAACTACCAAAAGTCGATGCAACTGTCTGTCACCCCGACGCCCCAGTTGACACGTTGTCAAGCAGTAGATTCAACGATATCTGGAAGAAGAAACCTTTCTTTACAGCTGCACTTCAATCCAGAACGTAACAAACGGCCAATTGCAAAGTCATCCTATCTCACAACCAACAATGGCGACAGTGCGTGTCCAACTAGAAGACCCCGGTGCGCCTCCCTTCGCCGCCAGAGTCGTCGAGATACTCAATTCGGTCTTCGACTCGAATAATAGTATCTCAGCGGAAAAGGCCGCCGCGGCAATAAACTCGCTCTTCATTTCAGGTTACGAAGAACACAGCACAGCAGGTTCTTTCCTCTGGTGGTTCTGGGACCTCATGCACGATCTAGCCCGCCAGATCCCCTACGACCGGCGTGAGCAAGATCAGCTGGCGGCAGTCATCAAGGCGCTCACCGGTCTTCCAACCAAAAGCGTCATCCTGGGCGAAGAATGGGGAGGTGCAGGTGACAGCTCCGTCGATGTGTGGAAGAGCCTACCCATCTTCGCGAATACCTTCAACGAGACGCTCAGCGACGGTAAGATCACGCCCCCGATTCCTATCTCGCGACGCCCCTTGAGATTCCCTCCCTGCATAGATCACTTGCTGAAATGAGACCGCCAGGTGATTCAAGAGCTCCCAGTGAAGAAGCAAGAAAAGACCGCCAGGTGAACCTGCAAGCGTACGCAGCCCGCGTCGCAGGCCTAGGCCTCGTCCCCCTAGAATCAAACGCAATCTGGGCGCTCGTAGACGCTCTCGAAGGCACCGTCAAGCCCGTTCGCGGCGCTCCAGACGAGATCGACTCGGATCCAGCCGCCGTAGAGGATATCACACGCAAGACACGTATCGCCGCAGCCTGGATGATCCACGCCGGCCACCTCTTACACGGGCGCAATGAGGTGGTGAGCGGGGCAACAGCTGGACCCCTGTGGAAGCTCGATAAGAAGGAAGCTGTGAAGTTGAGGCGCAAGTTCAAGGGGACTGATGGGCTTTGTGCCGAGCGGTGGCAGCTGTGGAAGGAGAGGTTTGCGGTTATTCGGGATGCTGAGGGGCTTGATGAGGGGGCGCGGAGGGATGCTGGCGATGCTTACACAGCAATGGAGAAGATTGAGGAGGGAGTGTAGGTATTAGTTGAAATCCATTGCATGACCGAGGATAAGACACTGCCGTCTCTTGTTTGGGTCCCCTCAACTCTCTTACCACTCCGGGGGAGATATTCTCCCATGCAGTGATGTATATGAGCTTCGATAATCGTCTTCGAGGTAACGTCACCGAATTCATCCCCCGTGTTCCCAGGAAGTTCGTAAAAGCCCTTTCGGCTTTAGCTCTTACACACCGAGATCTCACGTATCACATTCCCCATGTTGCCTCCTCGATCCTCCGACAACCTCTCTACCAGGGTTTCCCGATCCTTCGGATCGCTGCCGGGGTAGCCACCTTCCCCATCCCGACTTAGTCTGGTCGCCAGCTTACAGCCAAGATTCTACGGATCCTTCTTCCTCTTTAACCTCTCTCCAAAACGGTTTGATGGATTCAAGCCACGGCCTTGGGTCCTTCTGATTCTGCTCTGGCGGAGGATTCGAAGGATGAGAAAAGATAGGGGGCCTGGATGAAGTTGAACTCCTTGGCGTGGGCGCAAGTTTCAACAGCTAGGATGCGTCTGAGGCAAGCAGGTTCTGGAATTCATTATAAACCATGTGCCGTTCACCTCATCGAGCTGATTGATGTCAACCACAACGTCGCCTACCCAATCCCTCACTTCCGTTCATCGACCGAACGTAGCCTCATCCGCCAACATTCTGTCCATAGCAATAACAAAATGAAAGCCGCCATCATCCTCTCCGCTTTTGCTACCCTCCTCGCCGGCATCAACGCCGTTGCCATGAGTGAGAACCAGCACGCCGTAAGAGCACTCGTAAGCATACCCATCTTCAAAGAACAATCCAACTCAATGAATGCTAATTTATACCTGGTACAGATTGAGGCTCGCTGCCATTGCGACGGCACCTGCTGCAATGGCTATTGGTGCACCGACACCGATGTTGGAACTTGCTGTAACGACGTGCCTTGCTAGGTTCTCCGAGTTGAATGAAAGAGAGAGGCGACAGATGTGGTCTGCTCGTATACGCTGCCGTTGGTCCATCTCTAGCTAGAACGTAGTTGTAAATTGCCCACGCGACGAATGGTCAAGCCTGTGAAACTACAGTGATCTCCTGTGATCATAAAGCGATGTCCTTCCATCTCGACTTGTCAGACAACATCGTTCATCAACAAAGAAACCAGTGCTTTCTGACCCCGGACCGAGACGGTGAACCCACGAAACGGCGTCAGCCTATCTCAAGTATCTTGAACCTACTACGGCAATTCAGTCGCGTTCCCAGGAAGCCCAACACTCCGCCCATCATAAGCCAACCTCCACCGCCCACTCTCCCAAACATCCCAATCTCCCGCCCTCCCAGCATCCCCATTCAACCTCAAAGCCCTTACCCTCCAAAAATACGAACCCGGCGGCACATACTTCCTATCCTCCTCTGACCCATCCCAAACCCACCAACTCGACGGCGCAGCCCAATTCCCCGCACTACCCCTAAACGTCCCAGCCAATACATCCTCGCCCGTCTCGGCGCTGACTAGGTCGTAGGTATACTCCCGGCTCGCCGTGACAAACACCTTCCGGAACCCGGGGAAGCCGAGGTCGCAGGTGACCGGCCACGCTGGCTTCGGGATGGTTCCGTTGAAGAGGCATGTGAAGAGGGTATCGGGCGGTACTTCCGTGTCGACTTGTGTGTCGGTATTGACTTTGACGAGATGCGATGCGTTGGGGTTGATCATTGGGATATCGACCAAGGCCGTGCCGAAGCCGGTGTATGGAACCGTGAGCGTGTTCGCCTCAGATGCAGAGGACACGATCTCTATGTAGCCTCCAAAGAAGATACCCCTAGACGTCGCTGGAAGCGATGGGTTGGACCGGACAGAAACAGAGATGGATATAGATCTGCCCGGGGCAAGCTCCACCTCTGCCGGCGAGATATCCACGTCCGCATACACCGGATGCCCTTCCGCACCAGACAAGCCGTACGGATCCGTCTCGCTCAGGATATACCCCGACGCCGCACCCAGGTGTCTCAACTCGTACTTCAACGTCTCCGTCCCCGTATTCTTCAAACTCAACGTCAGGGCTTCGGGCCGATGCGCTGTGTCATTGAAGTCCAAACTCGAAACATTTACCAACGAAGCGGTGTGAACAGCATCCCACGCATCAACAAGTCCACCACCCTGACTAAAAACCGGCGCCAGAAACTCCTTCCTCTGCCTCGCACCATCAATGAACCGCACCGGCTTCGCAGTCGACGCCACCACCGCGAGGATTTGCTGCGGATCGTAGTCTGGGTGCCGTTCCTTCACCAGGGCGTACACGCCCACGGCAAACGGATTCGACATGCTCGTCCCGCCGACAACAGCTACACCGCCATACCTCAGCAGGAACGTACTGAGGATATTCTCCCCCGGCGCGATGAAGGACGGGTAACTCTTGCCCTCGGGCGTCGGACCCCAGCTAGAGAACCCGGAGACGAAACCACCCGAAATATCATTGTCTCTGTATAATACCTCCTCATGGGCCTCAGACATATTCGAGGGGACGGAGATCCGTACATAGGAGCCGTTTGAAAGTAGGCTTGCGAGAAAAAGTCCATCCTCGTTGGAGATCCGAGCAATGCCCTTGTAATCCTTGGAATACTCCGCAAACCCAGGCCGCCACTGCATTCCATCAACGACTGAAGCCGACGCAGATTGATACCGCAACACGTACGGAATCCCCAACCCAAGCGCGAGCCGAGTTGACGTATTCCCCGGACTCAACCAGCAATGATCTTCCTCAATGAGCATAATGGTATGCGCCGGGTCGGCGGGAGGAACAAAGCCCCCCGGCGCGGGGTTACACCCCTCTGGCAACCCTTCCGCAGGGCCTGGACTCCATAGAGTGAGGTTATTCCCAGCAGGAAAGTTGGCAGGAAACTGTGGCGCGTAACGAACAAAACCGGCATCATCGCCAGATGTGAAGTTGGCTCGCCACGTGTAATACGGCGTCGCAGAATTATCCGCCGACCCGATCGCCGCAGCACCACGGGCGTTGGCGGGTGATCCGCCCGTGAACAAGCCCGGCCCGGCATTCCCAGACGCAACCGTCACCGCCGTCCCATTTGCAACAGCCTGGCTGACCAAACGAGCAACGGGTTCTAGTAGATTAACCGAACAATGTCAGCTTCGGCATCACTCAGAATCTGGGCAGATTCCCGTGTAACGTTGCGCACTCACCCTCTTCAAAAGCAAGCCCGATCCCATACCCAATCATGATAAGATCAACCCCCTTGCTACTAGCACTCTCAATGGCAGCCATCAAATCATCCAACCCACCCGGCGCAGCACCTTCACACGGATCAAGTCCATACAGTTCAACCGTCACATTCGGCGCCACGCCTACTACCCCAAACTTTCTTTCCTCGCTCTTGGCGGCAATGATACCCAGAACATGCGTCCCGTGCAAGAAGTTGATGCAATTATCACCTGTAAAGTTGAAGGCATCCTCGACGTAGTTGTAGTTATATGTAACTCGTGTCTGAGAGAGCCCAGGGGATGCAAGATCGAAGCCCGTGTCAATTACTGCGATTTTTATGCCGTTCCCGAGGGTGCCTTCGGCGTGGAGGCGGGATACACCTGTGTCGTTGTGTGTTGGGAGGGTGGGTGATTCGTACAACCCGCTGTTGGCGGTTGTGGTGGCCTGTCGTTTGACTATGTGTGATGTTTCTCCTGGGAGAGCTCCATGTTGTCGTTGGGGACGTTGCTGTCCGCGTTGGGGCGTTTGATGACTCCGCGAGGCGAAAGAAGCCTTCTTTACAACGTCTAAGGATTGAATCATAGGCAGTATTTCGCTCCGGACTATTTCCCTATCTCCCTCGCATGACAAGCCGAACGAGAAGCCGCGAAAGAATGAGGAGCTAAATGTGTGACGGCGTGTAAATATGCATTCGTGCTCGAATAAGCGTTATTCTATGATGTTGAAAACAATGTCTGGATTCTTGAAGGGCAGGTGAGTCTCGTGAGACAAGGAAGTTGATGCATTTTACATTTGATATCTTACCTGTTGCGCGCGTTCAGTCAGTTCTACCAGAACGATCCTCGGGACCTCGTTGGTAATAGTAGTTTGCTCAACGATGGCCAGCGCAAAGGCCACCGCGAGGTGAAGCAAGATGAGTAAGAACCTCATATTCGGAACTAGTGACTGAGGCAATACGAAGAGAGGCAGAGCCCGTTGTAGATTAGGTAGCCGATGAAGCTGTCTTTTGTAGTTCGCTCGATATAGAAGGACGTGGGTAGAGTGAGGACGGACTTGAGAAATACCCCACGCGTCCCGCGGACGCTATGTAGAACCCCCTGACTGCCGAGAAAACCATCAAAACTCTATGAAGAAGATTAATTGAAAGCAACATGGATATGCCACTCCCCAGAGATTGTGTCTCGATAATCCGGGCTTTTCAAGGCTCCGTCTAAGTAGGGATGTAGGTGGGACACTACAAGGGGTGATCAGGGGATTGGCTACTACGTAGCAGCGGATATGAGTGATAATATTGAGCCAAAACTTTGATGCAGCAATGATAGATAAAGATAATATTTGTGCCAATCTTTGGTGTTGGCAGGCTACGCTGTAATATGAAGTGGTAAACCGGAAAGTGATCTAATGGAGAAATCCAACGCTTGCTCTATCGATTTCTTTGTGCAGCAACAATCCTGATACCTGAGGTATGTATCGTAACCCATTCAATAAGTGGGATCAGTCTCAAAAGGAAGTCAGTAACGACAGACACTATGTCGTTTTTCTTGTAGTCATATGGATCAGTCTGACTCGGCCGAAGCCTCTGGCTGGACCCGCTCCTCCGACAGCTTCGGGTTTCTCAACGCAAAAGCAAAGCCAACCATAGGCACGCAGATGCACAGTCCGGCAATGCACAGAAGCCTTTGCACACCGCGATAGCTGTCAATGATAGCGTCTCTGATCTCTCCGCCGACCGGGTAATCTTCGATGGTGGAGAATGGCGAGTTGTAGACCAACGCCGCCAGGGTTTTGTTCGGCTGGAACTCGAGGTTAGACTCGAGAGAGGGGTAGAGAAGTTGCGTCCACATGGCTCCCGACAGACAGTTCCCGAGAGCGCTTCCGACGTTGAAGATGGCGAGGTAGAGACTCGTAACGACGGCAACGTGCTCCCGATCGGACGACGCTTGGATGGAGGCCTGTGTTGGGTACGCAAACAGACCACCTGCCAGACCCATAATGATTTGGCCGGCAATAAGACCAGACTGTGAAGCAGAAGAAGCTCCCCCGGGGTATAATATGAGAAGACCAAAGGAGGCTGTGAAAATGCAAGCGCCAGTGATGATGATGCCCTTAAGTCTTCGAATCCTATAAATGACGACGCCCATCAAGACCCCGCTAAAAACGCCAAAGAAGGAGAAGAATGACAAGATGCGAGTGGCCGTCTCAATAGGAAAGTCGAAGGCCACGACAAGAACGGTGTACAAATAGTTCCCCTGCGTCGACCAAGCAAAGTTGAGAAGACTGCGGACGGCCAGGGCGGACCAAACGCCACGATCTTTGAGGAGACGGAAGGGAATGAGTGGAACTTGAGCGTAGCGGCGCTCCCAGAAGATGAAGGCCGGAATGCAAAGCAGCCCAAAGGCGAGCGGAACGATGATTCCCGGGCTCTTCCAGTGGCTCACAGTTCCTCCCGCCAGAGTCAGAGGTGCCAGGGTGAAGGAGAAGGCGGCAATGAGAATAGCAAGGCCGACGGCATCGAGTTGATGGAAGAGGTCAATGGTGGCCTTCTTCGATTCGGCATGACGATCAGCCTTTCGCGAGCGCTGGCCAAAGGTGTAGAGGCTAGTGAGGAGCGGGATGGAACAGATGGGCAGGATGATGGCCCACATTCCAATGCCCCAACGCCATGATGTGACTCGCAAGACGGCCGAGGTGACGTTGCCGCTGATCCAGGTGTTGAATACGAAGGGGATAGCCGGGATATAACTGAAGAAGACTCGAGATCGCATCGACGAGAAGTCGGCCACGAGGACCTCTAGAAGGAGGACGATGCATGTCCAGCCAATCTGGTACAGAACGGCACCGAGGCAGAAGACTTCCACCGAAGACGCACTAGCCTCGAGTGCGGTACCGACAACATAGAAGAGGATGGAGGCGGCGATGGTTTCGAAGCGGCCGTAAATATCGGCGACCTTGGCCGCAGTGGGCTGCGATGCCACGGCGATAACACTCCGCAGCACGTTGATGGTTGAGTGGGATGAGTGGAGGTTGAGGCTTGACGTGGCGTAGGGCTGGTATGTTCCCCGCACCTGGCTGTCGAGGCCATAGGCGTAGCCGACCAGGAAGATCCCGACAAAAAGCCAGACGCGCTCGGCACTGCTGATATGGTTCGCGACGGTATCGGAGTGTGCGACGCCGCCTGAGGGCGCATCATGAGAGTGGAGGGTTGCGTCGGCTTGGCTCGGTGCTCCGACGGTGAGGTCGGACTCGAGGAGCGGCGAGGTCTCGCCGCCCGGGGAAGGGCGGCGCTTCGACCATAGTTTCGACATATCTCTGCCGCTTCTTGTTCTCCCTTGCGTTTTTTCGTTTTTTTGGCGAAAACCTTATGTCTCGGTACTTCTGGAACGCGCGCCGTGGGCGGAGATGAGGTAAGGGACTAGAGGTCTGGGCAACCTCTTTTCGTGATGTCTCGTTAACGAAACGTCCCCGTGCAGCACACCGAGTTCAACGATGGATGGAAGCTCGCGACCGCAGCATACGCAGTCATCGGCGGGAATAGGAGGAAAGATTCTTCTCGGCTGTGTATCCGTATCGAGCGCCTGCTCAGGGGGGGTCCAGTCAGCAGGGGTTATTTGCGTAGGTAGTACAGAGGTGAGTTGAGAAAGATGGTGGTTACTTGGGGTCTTCGTACCTTTGCGAGTTCAGAGATTCGCAGCTGGATGGGCAACTGGGCCGCAGAGGTCCATGGGAAATGATGCAGAAGCGACGTTTGGCAGCAGCCCTACCCGGCGGCCATGATGTGAAAAGATGTGCAGGCAAACAGGAAGGATTTCAGTCAACCACCCACAGCTGGCATTCTGACACCGCGGGCCTCATGATCAGGGGACCAACGAATGCTCTGTCAGCAGGCTATGCAGGCGTGGCAGTCGCGGGTGGGCAGCACGGCAGGCGAGGACCGGAGCCTGAAGTGGACGGGAAAAGTGACAACACACAAGTCCCTCCTTCCTTCCTTCCAGGTTTTAGGTACCTGGCTGCACCTACCTACCTTACCTTTTTGGTGCTTTCCTGAGGTGACCGATCAGATTAGATCATCTGATAAAGAAGGCGACCCACCAGCACCGTGGCCAATCACGCAATTCGGGATCGTCCGCTGCCCGCCGTAAGCGCCGATTTAATCCGCGGCCTTCTGCATTCTTGGAACACAACATACAGTGGCGCAAAGTCAAAGTCGAAGAGTGTTTGTTGTCTCTATAAAGATCAGTACTTGATAACGCCATGTCTGTGGTATCTCATTGCAGATAGTAAACCGGTGTCTCTCAAAAGCAGGGCAATGGGTATCACTTTCTCTGCTGAGACTCACTCGTCATTCGTCATGATGTCCCGCTAAAATGTCAGCTCGGCCAGAACCTCGGATTTTCGGCACATGACTCCTTAGCCCGACCTCTCTCGGCGAAGCTAGAGCATTACATGTCGTCCGGTGTACATGGCGCTCCAGGCAGGATGATGATACTGCACGTGAATGAGGTGACTTTTCTACATGAAGACGATGCAACAGGTACCTCTCGAGCTTCACCGAGAAAAGAACAGAAACCCAACTTTAAGTGTTCCCTTCTCCAGATGCCCACAACGGGCGGGAAGCAAGCATTAGGGGTCTTCGGATGGCACCGAGACATCTGCGCGCCCACTGCTGATTGGCGCTTTGACTCCGCCGTTACGCTAATTGGATTCTGTCCCAAAGCCCCGAAGCCCCAAAGCCCACAACTGCAACGACGCTATTACGCACGATGAGATCCTTTGAACGTGGTTCTACATACACAGTCCATCCATCAGAAGTACTCAGATAGGTACAGTGAGTCGGAGGCCGGACAATATACTGCAAGTACCCTTCAGATAGATTAGAGATGCCCGCGATGCAGCAGACATTGGATTCTGTAAGCAGCTCCCAGCAGACTGCAATATACCCTACCAATCATCCACGTCGCCAAGACAATCTCCCGGTCATCTCTGCGCCAAGTCCCTGCCTGGTGAGAAGAGAGCGTACGGCAGACCTGGTTTGATGCAAAGAGTAACAGGGTATGGTTCATCTCTGATATCCGGTAGTTACGTTTGGCTCTCAACTACACGCTACACTGCAACCTTGGCTGCACCCCAGAACTATGCATCTCGTCCATGTGACGATGAGATGACAGAATCACTGACTGACCCATTGAGGTTCTATAGTGTATTATGGATAGCTGAAATATTGATTTTATTTGACTTTATTTTGATCAAGCTGCATCCCCTTGTAGCTAGCTGCCTCAACTGCACCTCACCCTTATGCCGCACCGCCGCGACCGCCAACACCAAACTGTGCCTGAGCCTCTGCAACTCCCGCCGGAATCGGCGGCAGCTCGCGTCCACGGCCTGTGGGCAGTGGCATGAACTTGGTCTCGGCCAAGAACCGCAGGTACCGTCCAATATCCTCGCGGGTAATACCCTCACCCGCACTGTCATCAACCCCTGTCCAGCGCTCAGCATCGGCCTTGAGCACAGCAACGGCATTCCTGTCGTCGAGCTCGGGTGCGCGCGTGGTTGAGGGCAGGTCAGACGTAGCCATGTGGAACAGCGGCATCAGCGCGCTCTGCTCCTGATCCTTCTCGACGGCACCAGCCGACACAAACTCCTCGAGCTGCGTCTTCCACTCCTCATAGTCGACCTCGGGGACGTCGTAACCATAGTAGCTCAGCGTCGAGAGGAACTCGTTCATGCGGAGGCGCGGGTGCGCCGTCACGTGGACGACGTTGACGCCAGGAAGGGGGTTGAGTCCAGCAGCGATGACGACACGGGCGACGTGGTCTACAGGCACAGCATTGACTGAGTTGACGATGCGAGGGCGGGCCTTGAGCTGGACGCAACCCTTGCACAATCTGATGAGGAAATCATCCGTGTTGGAAACACCGCCATGGCGGCTACCG